CCCCAGTAGCATCTCAGACAGGCCATACGCCTTATGAGCGCTGGTTCGCCCGCAAACCCAACTTGTCCCACTTGCGTGAAATCGGATGCCGCGCTTTTGTTCTCGTCCAGAACCGTCACAACCCTAAGATATTCAACCGCTCCGTCGAGTGTGTCCTCATAGGGTATTCTCTTGATTCAAAAGCCTATCGATGCTATCATCATGAATCACACAAGGTTTTCATATCTTATCATGTGTCTTTCATTGAGTCTCACACTGGTAGCGCTACCTCCCTGCATCCTGGGCGCGTTATTGACAACCCGCCTGCCCCTTCACGTCCTGATGCCCCCCCTGCCACTGAGACCACAATTCCAGCACCTCCCTCTACTCAGGTCCCCCTACCCACGTCTGATCCTGCCCCCTCTGGCTCCCTGGACGCGCCCCCCATCCGTCGTTCTACTCGCACCCCCGTCCTGTCCGAGCGTCGCTGTGCAACCGAAGGCATACCTTATGTACCTGCTGCCCAGCGCACCATCTTAGCCTCAATGGCGGCTACTGAGCGATTGCAGGCCCTCGAACACACTTCCTCTGGAGACATCGCGCTGTCCGCTGACGCCACTGATGCTGAACTCCAGGACCTAGAGGCTGAAATTGCCTACCTTACTGAGGTATTTGCCGCTATGCCCGACGACTTTGAACACGAACATCCCACTGACCCATCCACCTATGCTGAGGCTATGGGCTCTGAGCACGCTGAGCAGTGGACTGCCGCCATGTGAGAAGAATTCGCATCACTCCGCGACCTTGGCGTCTATAAACTCGTCCCTCATTCTACCGTTCCCTCTGGTCGCAAAGTGATGAAAGGTCGACCTGTCTTTAAGCTCAAACGCAATCAACACGGGGCACCCGCTCGTTTCAAGGCTAGGTATGTCTGCCACGGCTACTCTGCCGTCTGGGGACAAGACTACACAAAAACTTCTGCACCTACCGCTCGCCTGGAATCCTTCCACATCCTTGCTCACCTTGGTGCAGCTCTCGATTGGGAAATCGAGCAGCTAGACATCAAGACAGCTTTCCTATACGGGCTGCTTGACTCCGATGAAGTGTGCTATATGGAACAACCCGAAGGTTTTGTGGAACCCGGCTTTGAAGACCATGTCTGGCAACTACAGAAGGGGCTATATGGCATGAAACAAGGCGGCCTAGTGTGGAACCGAACCCTCAACGCCGCCATGATATCCTGGGGCTTTAAACGCTTAAAGAGCGAACACTGTATCTACTTCTGCCAGACTGCCGCCGGTATTCTCCTCATCGCTGTTCACGTTGACGACTTCTTCACTGTAGGCAGCTCAAAGACTGCCCTAGCTGACTTCAAGGCCCAACTCCGAACCAAGTGGCAAGTCTCAGAGCTCGGCGAAGCACACTTCTGTCTTGGAATTGCCATCAAACGTGATTGCACTGCTTGCACTATCGCACTGTCCCAAACCGCCCTCATTGATCACATTATCACACAATTCGGCCTGAAGGACGCTGTTCCTGTGCTGATTCCCATGGAACCTGGCCTCCACTTGTCTCGTCGCGATCACTCCCCCCGTAATGATGCCGAATGCGACCTCATGGCCCGTACCCCATACCGCTCACTCGTTGGCTCTCTCATGTACCTAGCGATTGGTACCCGCCCCGATATCTCTTATGCTGTCCAACAACTCTGTAAATTCCTTGACAGTTATGGGCGCGTCCACTGGGAGGCCGCCAAACGCGTTGTTCATTACCTCAAAGGCACTCGTGAGCTCCATCTCGTTCTCGGTGGGGACCACACCGTGCGTCTTCTCACCTACACTGACAGCGACCTTGCCAGCTGCATCGACACGCGTCGATCGGTCAGCGGATACTGCTGTTCCCTTGGAGGCGGACTTGTCACATGGAGCGCATGGCAACAGAAGACCGTTGCCCTCTCCACCTGCGAAGCTGAGTACATCGCCGCTGTCAGAGGCTGGCAAAGAAATCAAATGGATCCTGCACTGTCCTTCATGAACTTGAATTCACTCAATCTTCCGCTTCCCCCCTCATGTGCGACAACAATGGCGCGATCGTACTCACCGAAGACAACTCCTTCCACACTCGAGTAAAGCACATCGACATGGCATATCATTCCATCTGCGAATGAGTCTCCTTGCATCAACTCAAACTACACTACGTACGATCCAAAGAAAACCTCGCGGACATTTTTACCAAGGCTCTAGCGAAACCAGACTACATTCGCCTGCGCACATACCTTGGACTATGGTGAATCAGTCGAGGAGGAGCACGCGTCGCATCGAGGAGGAGTGTTAGCACACATTACGTGCACGTGATGAGTGCAACACCGCAGAATGCCAACCAAAAGTATATATAATGGTTCATGTTCGTTTTCCCTTTTCCCTCAGTCTGTTACGCACACAACTGAGGATCTAACTGTGTCTAGATTTAACATAGGGGACCGTGTTGAAGGAGGCCATGTGGTATTGTGCATTGTCCGGATTGGTCGTAGGGGACCACCATCGGCGAGGGTGTGTGATGTGTAGGTGTGTGTGCAAGTGCGAAAGCGAAAGCGAAAGCGGCAGAATCCAACCTCTTGGGTGGTAAAGCTCCGGGTCGTAGGGGACAGAGGAAGCCGTTACGTCGCGCAGTCAATTTGGTAATAGGCTGTTGATGCGGAGGATCTGCAGGGGAGAAATCTGAGTTGAGCTACAGCAGTGCTTCGTAACCGGAATTGGAGCAGCTCGAGCTTGGAGGTGGAGGGCGGAGGATTAGAAAGACAAAGCGCCGCCAGGATTTGAGGTGTCCATAGAGTTGGTGAGTTCAGGAAGACTCAGAGGAGGGTAAGGACACAGTAGATGTTGTAGGCTGGCCTGTTGGCGACTAGAATGAGAGGTTGAAGCGTAGATGGCGAGGGGAATCATTGAGTGTCAGAGCTTGTATTTTGCGACTACAGGTGCTGATCAAGCATAGTTCGTTCTAGGTTCATAAAAGTCGTCCTGGAGACCCAAACATTAAGTAATGCAGATCAAGTTGAGGCTAGGCTGCTTCTTACCTCATGGAAAGTGCTGTCAGTTACCGAGGGTAGAAGTGTTTGAGTCGATAGACGCAAAGGGCGAACTGTGCTAGACTGAAAGGGATATGCAATAACACGCTGTATTTATACCCCTAGTTTATTTGCATACGCAATAAAGTTTGAATAAACAGACTCGATCGCGACGCGTCAGTCACGTGCTTGTAAAATCAACCAGTATACAAGTGGGGTCCCGATGATATCTGGCTAAATACCTTATTATGTACATAGTGGACAAAAATATGTGCCTGTGATCAGTCCTTAGCGTGCACGTCAAGCTTGGCACTTTGCTAGTTCGAGCAAAGAGTCAAAATGTTTTCTTGTGTCGCGGCTGAGCCTCTGAGATCAAATCTTGGTTTGCGACGTGGATAGAAACCCTTGGTTGGATACTGTATACAGGATTTCCAAAAGATCGATCTGGATAGGCTGTCGGCTGACATTGTGTCCAGTTGAGTTGTTTGGGTATTATAATCACTGTCATGACTCCACCCATCTCATGTCATCGTGCACAATTTATCGCTTGTCTGACACGCCCCCACCACGATCCCACACCGCCTTGAGAGAATCATCCGCCACTTACTTCGGTGGCGTCAAGAACAAAGGTAAGAGGACGTACATGAGCATACATGACGTGTCATAAGCCGAGGATACATATCGGCTTATGCATATGACGCGCCATGTCGGACCGCTGCACAGCGCTCGGGGCCTTGGCAGCTCCTTCTGAACTCATCTTGTCATCCTCGCATTAATAACATTCTTCGCCCCACCTGCAGGTGATCTGAGTGTTCCGGCCTCTGACACTGACAGCGGTCTCACGCGCGTCAAAAAAAGTGATTCGACATTTTTTGCCACATCTGAGACAACTATTTGTGACATCGAGAAAGATCTGGTGGTGTGATATGGACTGAAAGTTGTTCACTTGCGCATGGGAACTTAGAGTTGGGCCAGAAAACTGAGAGAGCCTATCAATTGCGGGGAGAAAGATGGGCTGGGATCCACGATGTGCTACCGTCTCTTATATACCGCAACAGCGTAAAGACGACAGGGAGAATAAAAATGTTTGACATTGAGTATAGAGAACCATAACGCACCGAAGAAGAAAGGCGGTGTGACATTTGAAGCGAACCGTTGCCTGGAACTGCACGGTACTTTAGCCGTGGGCATACTTTTGCGAACCCTTACCAGCGGGGTAAGTGATCGATTCTATGAGAAACATAGAGCTGGTGAAAGGGCTGTACTTGCCAGCAGCATGCGGCGGGAAGTTGAAGAACGAAGCCGGTATCGTGAAGTTCGAGAACCTCGTCGTTTTCAAGTACTATGTCGTCTGATAACACCCGATAAACTTCTGTCAGCCTGATTAATGATTGGCTGCCGGAATCTTTGCAACGGGATTGGCTCCCTGCATCTTGACAACGGAACTTGTGATCACCAACTTTTTTTTTGCGACGATTTCCCTACATTGGACGATGGATTAATGGCAACCCGTCGACCGATGATTGCACTGGCATGGCAAATCATTGTCCTCCCTCAGTATTTGCTTGTTGAATGAGAACAATGATAGGCTATCGCATACGGCATCTTGGATATCGGAGAACAAAGGCTCAAGGAGGAAACTAGGAAACGAGAGTAGCCCATTCAAAGGAAGATCGAGATGACTCCTTGTACAACGTCATCTACGAGACGAGTGTATGCAGCTTCTGCTTCGAAGTCACCTTGACTAGGGTTCCCTTGTCGATGTTCCGCGGGAGGTATCTCGAGCTGAGACAGATGAATTCTCGGAATTTCTGCGTTGCGTGATCTCCAAGTGGGCTAAGTTATCATTCAGAAAAGCCCCAAGGTGCTGATGAGGTAGTCTCCCGTACTAGTCACTAGTCACTACTAGTGAAGAAGCCCATTTAGACGAACGTCGGAAATCCTCACGTCACGTCTGTCTCCTTCAACCACACCTGCACCAGGTTGCTTCACCCAATTTCTGAGATGTAGTCGTTGTCGCGATAAAGTGACTTTAGCATTTTCAATCTCCGGGGATGTCTTCGTTGAACGTTAAGCACTTGCCGACTTACTGTAAGTCAGTAAGTCGTCAACGTTTAACAAGACAACCGCGACAGCTCAAGCACTCATCTACTACTATTACCTCTCAGGTTGAACGGTTCAGCACCCCACGGTGTCCAGTCGATCGAATGTTCAATGGTCGTCCGTTGTTATTTTAACAACCCGACGACATTTTGCCAGTGAGTGATTTGACAGTATGTTTACAACGTGCAAGGCTTTGAGGTTTGTCTGTGGTCTGTATCACAGTGGTGCCAAAAATGATATCGCTACAGTACATGGAATATGCAGATACAGGAAACCTTCAACCGCCGACACATTGGGTATATGCTACAGCAATAGACGAATATTAAGTGATCAGAATGATAGTAAATCGCCAGAAAACCTATTATGGCGGGGGACTCCTGCTGATAACTTGCTAGTGATTATTATCCCTGCCGTCAGTGGACTGAGCATCTGGCAATACATCAGAATCAAACACACATACAGAGTGGTACGAGAAACTTACCATCTTCTCACGTGCAGTGAGCTCACTATCATCAATCAGCAGGGTCAATCCGATCTCCTTGAAGGCATGCTCTGCTTGCTTGCAACCCAGACAGAGTGGAGGCGGCGCCTTGCGTCTCAACCTCTCGAGCCCCACTACCTTCTCAAGAGCGCCGTCCTCAAGATCCGAAAGTGATTCCATCGACACATCGCCCGCCTGGGCGTCGTCGTCTTCTAGTTGCGGCATCGACATCATTGGGGAACAGTCTTCTGTGCTTGCCGACACAGTTGGCGAAGCGCCACGAAAGATCGCTGGGACAACGTTCTCGTCAGCACATTCTTCTGCGTCACCCGAGCCCCTCTCCTCCTCGACCTCTCTCCGGTAGGCGGCTAAGTCGGGCGGCCAGGTATACACCAGGCCATCATCTGCGATCTCATTGGCCGCCGACCGCGCTTGCAGTTCCTCGAACTCCGCGTCGTCGTATTCGGTGATGGCGATATTCTTCCAAGGTTTGTCACACAAACCTTGGGACAATACCGACTTGGCAACAGCAACGTCTGTCTCGGATGGCTCTTTGGCGCTGACAGGGGGAGATGCTGGTGTGGACGGTGTGGTCTTCTGACATTCTATGGGTTCATCCGGGTTGAACTTGAAATCGTGCGGGTTGGACATCCATTCGAAGCATATTCTAAGGTAAAAATCGTGTGACAGGGTAAACTGGGTGTGCATTGAATCCATCGAGATGTCACAGCCTAGCCCCCGCGAGGGTGGTAGAGATTTTAGTGGGGTCAAAGACTCGAAGGAGGGATCAAGTTCGGCAAGGGAACCCAGGAGGAAAGCGGGTGAGAACTCGATGCTGTTCATTATTTTCACGTGAAGAGTTGACGTGCGACACGGTTCAATTAGGTGGCTCGTGAAGTGAAGGAAAGCTGACTGTGGCTTTCGCAGAGGTATAAAATGGAGGAAAACAATTTGTAATGCTGGGGGTATAACCGAGGAAAAGAAATGATATGGCAGAACAGTCCGGAGCGAAGCACAGAAGGGACGCGAAATGGTATGACGACTGAGCTTGTGGTCGTGGCAGATGGTCAAGAACCACACCTGGCCAACGCTGAATTTATAGCCGAACGGAGTGGCAACGCCGAAGGTGGTCTTTGTGGAATACCCACTAAAGGTCTTTGTGAGACGCGCCTTGTCACGCCTTGTCACACGTTGCGTTGAACTAGTATCGTGCTTGTACCTTTCATCATTGACGCGCCAGACAACCAGTGCTAAAACGCGGCAAGATAATGGCTGCATCAGAGCGGTGTCGTTAGTAGTCGATTTTGCATAGACCGCCTATGTAATATGACTGACAATGCGGAGCGCCTGGAAGAGATTGTCCATCTGTCTATTTCTCATCAGTACCGTACTGATACTCACCCACTGATACTTCCCGCAACTTCAACTTGAGCCTCGTCGAGGAATCTAGATCTTAGGGATGCAACGTACAAGACCACGACGACGACAAGGTTGGTGTTAATGAGAGCAAGCCCGGATCTAAAGGGTGCAATATTGAACACACGCGAATGTTTTTGTCCAGAGCTCATAAATCTCAGAGATGTTAGAAGTCTGCAAGCGAGGGAAATTGTTCATTGCTCAGCTGTACGGTCACGGTGACGAGAACATCATATAGCAAGCATCCAATAATATTTGATACACAACTTGAGGTTACCCTAAGGAAGGGATGATTCGTCTACGTTGAGAATCAAAGTGGTGAAGAATCGGATAACTTCAACGAAGTTATTGACGGAGATTGCTGGAGAATAATCAGCCTTCCAATTACCGAGAGCCCAGTCCGAAATGTGTACCTTCATTGACTGTGTGCACGCCAGAAGGAATAGATCCACTGGCTCCCTCTAGGTGACCATATCGGAAAATATGGTCAGTCAACTTCCAATAGAACCGTGTATCTGTAATCAAACTATTACTACGGATGGTGCAATGCGTTCTCAAAAAGCCCACCTGTGTTACCAGACATGATGCCTGGGCTCACAATAAGTGCATCTGAACCGGAAATATTTCTATGGGTGTTGTAGGTTGCTTTGATAGTTCCAGATAAAAGCTTGAACGGCGCAGCATCTTCGCCGGATGGAGTGACTGGTGCTGGTTCCAGACCATCACCAAACGCATCGGAGAGGGTCAGGGTGCCATATGAAGGCACATCTGCATTGGAAATATGGCTACCAAAGGCTGTGTAAGATAGATTGAAGTCGTTTGCGAGGGATTCCAATAATTTGATGTCTCGCACTCTTGTGGCAGCGATGGAACTGTGAATAAGAAAGGGCAGGTTGGCAAAGGTAATCGCATATGCATCAGAATTCCTACCTTTCTGTTGAAATTCGGTGATTCACAATGGCCCACGCCTGTTCCGGGAGAGCGTTTACCTTCACACCACCATCCACGAGATCAATGGCTTGAGTAGTGCCAACAAGGCTCATGAAAGCGCGATCCATAAAGAGTTCCTGCTCAGCAGCGCGAAGTGCTCCATCACAGTGCTCTGCACGTAACATGTATTTCTTTAGTGAGGAACTGACGCCTGGTGCGTGTTGAGCCGTGCATTGAGCACTCCTGTAAGTCGGCGATCCTCTCTTCTGCAGATAAGGTATCAGCGCAACATCATAGCCAGTCTCTAGGGCTTACTAGGTGGACCTCGAAGGGATTTTTCTCATACTGGACAAGGAGCTCTGCGAGCATGCCGATGCTCTTAGAAAATCAGAAATGATTGGTGAAGAAATGAGTGTGGGCAAGCTCACAGTATGAGGTGGAGGAAGGCTCGAATGGCCACCGGGAGATGTAACTTTGATTCGTACGTTCAAGGAACCTTTCTCGCCGATTGCAGGTACTGCAATGTCACGACCATATACCTCGCCGTACCCAGCTGTCAACCAGAACCACATTAGTCATTGTATCAGTTGGTCCAATAGAAAGTAACTCACCGCCTTCGTCGACAAGCATGGTAAAGGCATTTTCTCCAAATCTCTCCAGCATTTCGGTAGCTAGGGAAGACGCACCCTTCGACCGGCATTCAATGTTAATATAGATATGCAGAATTTAAATTTGGCAACTTACCCGTAAACCACTTACTTCTTCATCAAAACCTGACGCGATCACGACCGTGCGAGTCGGCTTGAAGCCACTCTCTAGCATGGATTCAATTGCAGACCTAAAACAATCAGCTGTATTTCTCTTGAACATTACAAGAACACAAACATCATTCCTGGAAGCAATCCGTGAGTTCAGGAATAGAACTAAATGTTGGAACACTACCAATTAAACCGCTCTTATCATCGCACGACCCACGACCCCAAAGTTTCTCCCCTACAAAGGTATCAGTTCAAAACATGCCACCCATCACGGAACTACTGTACAGACCATCAAAGTACCCGGAGAATGGGGGATGCTGCCATTCGTCGATCGTCGTTTCTAAGACAGGAACCACATCTGGCGATATATCGTCAGATAGAGATGTGTACATGATGCACAGATGAACTCACCTTGGTGACCCGCGAGAAGGAGTGGCTTCAAAGCACTATCTGAGCCTTTCCACACATACAACAGTCCGTATGTATTGACTTTTGTAAGTTCCAAGTGTGAGTGACTAATAACGTGAACTGGACAGCTGACAATGATATGCAAAAGTACTTACAGTAAAGGGAACGATTCTTTCAGATAATCATGTAATGGGAGGAATTTCTCCCAGACTGGCTCTGTTACATCTCCCATGTCATCGAATGTCTCTGTGCTGCATGAGGGCTGTATTAACGCAGGAACACCCAGCATATCGCAGGTGGAACAACGCACGGAATTCGCACAGCTCCTCCAAGCCAATCTACAGCTCTCGTTTTGAACTCCTCAGTACCGTATGTGCGTTGAAGACCCTCCCAGATGTCCCCATTCTTCTCCGGAACAATTTCATCTACCTGAGGGCACAAATCTGCACCCTGTGACTCCTCGAGTGGGCCGGTGAGGATACCGTTAAAGGGTCTCTTCACGAAGTACGTTGAAGCAGAGATTGCGAGTGCAGCGAGTGCGATCTTGAATGCGACAGCCTTGGCCTTGCAAGACTTCGTAGTGGATGCGCGGGCGTGAACTCCTGGAAGCTCATCAGCTTTCTTCTCAGTCAGGTTAGCTTGCGACATTATGCGACGGAAAGACCACCGCTAGCTTGCAACTTAAGTCCAACGCGGGCCTTTTGGAAATTCATTATCAGCCAATTAACAACACTGGTCAGATAGTCCTGTCATCCCTGGGTGCGGCAGTTGTGAGGTTGTGCGTGGGTGGTCACGAGTCTTCGTCACGAGTCGCTAATAGCTATATATATATATCGGTATCTATTGCATATAGATTATGGACTGTCACTCCGATTCATCAACGTTGAGAATAAGTGTGGCGAAAAATTGAATCATCTCAGTGAAGGTATTGATGTTGATGGCTACTAATGATGCAGCAAGTTCGAGTACATGAACAAGACATTATGCACTCTTGTATGCTGGTGAACCTCTTTCCTGCGAGAGAGTTATTTTAATATTGCCCTAATATTGGTGTTCCAGAACTTACAAGGTGAACTTCGAACAGATTTCTCTCATGATAACGAGGATGTCTGCGAGTATGCTGATAAGAACACCAAACCATCAACTCTAGAGTAGAAACCTACAGTGTGAAGTGGTGGAAGACTTGAATGGCTACTGGGAGTCGAGACAACTCTACCAAACTGTTCGCCGCGTACAGCCTTCATCCACTAGCATAGAATAACCGTTTGCACAGTACATCTCCTAGGCAGGGTTGCCGAGTGATAAGCGGTGTGTATACGATGAACGTATCTAATTATTCCCACAGGACAACAGCGTGTATGAATCTAGCGGGGTGTTCAGTAGCTAGTCCAGGAATATGGGCAGGAACTCACCAGTGACTCCACCTGGACGTGATTCGCAGCTGATAATTCCAAGCAGGCTGCTATATACGACCCTGCTTTAACATCTGAGCGTCAACGATCTTCTCACTGTCCTTCTTCATCGGTCATTTCTAGACCGAACGCGTCATAACATGCAAAGATTCTCGACGCATTTTCGTTTTTCCATGGGCTTTGGCACAACTCATATACTTGTCTTCTCAAAGTCCACCAACGACCAAATCGACACCTTCGCATTCGTACTACCCACAATCAACCACTAGCCACGGGCTCACTTTCCAGAAGAGTCGTCGTCCCTCGAGTCTCCAGGAAGAGGTGCATGGCCAACAGAAGGATCGACGAGAGGTAAATATAACCGCCTGGCATCTATGCAGAAGGATTCCTCGAAAGTCTTCCGTATACTTTACAGCACTTTGCGTTCATCCAATCAATGACATGTAACATAATCATCTGGTCGACCCACTTGCCGTCCCACCCCCCTATCGCACACACTCGAATTCCGTCACCACGCATGACGATAGCGCCATTTCCTGGATGTTTGGTCTTGAATGCAGTTCCTTTGGGAGTGAATTCTGAGGCCTCTTCCTAGGTGTTCTGTTCCGTTAGCAAGCAAGTGCAGAGCTACTTAAACACCGACCAAATGATCATACCGTCCCATCAGATGGTCCGCCGATACGGTGAAAGCAAAAGTGTAGTATAAATAATCCGCCATCGCCATAGCTTTGAACAACAACTTCCGTTAGATTTCCCTACAATACATGTTTCATCCAACCTGATTGTATATGAAGTTTGGATTCCCACAACACCTCCCATCCACGGCCCTCGACAGCCTGTTCATTCTCAGGTGCAGTACGCTTCTGGAGAACAACTTCTCCATCGTCATACCGCATAAGAGCCACAGCTCTCTTGCTCACGTAGAAGACGAAGATTCAGACAAAGCAGCGTAAAAGATATGCATTGACATGATGATTCCAGATATGCTACCCGACCTGCCATCCGAGAGAAGGCTGTTGCAGAGGTGTCTAGTAGAACACCTATGACGGTGTGGAGCCTTTGATGCGATGGAAGTGACCAGATATCTGCCTGGTCAATTCAGACTGAGATCACGCTGTACCATACACCGGAAGGTACACTCACCAGAGCTGATTCTACTAGGTTCGCTCGCTCCTATAGGGCAAAGGAGAGAGAACTTGCAATAACTCAGGGCGTTAACATACATCGAGTAGCATATCGTTGGCGTTGATAGATATGACAGTTGAAAGTTCTTGTCTGATGGAAGCGGGCTCCTCAGGTCGTGCCCAGATGCGAAGTTTATTATCCCGGATCCAACAATATAGAGAGCGTACCGGGAGGGAGGACCAGGAGTAAGACATCAGAGGGGAGCGTAGGCTAGAATTGATGACACGCGTAGTATTAAGGTAGCTCGACATGAAACAGAGGGTCAGTCATTGTGTATCTTTGTAAGATCGTTAGGTCAGACAGCCGTGGAAGGTTCCTATTCAAGAACCGAAATTGCTGAGCAACTGGTGAAGCTGGTGGGAAGGTGTGAGGAGGCATAGCGCATGAGAGGTGCCACAGAGTCACGTCATCAAGCATAAAAGCTGGTCAGTACCGTTGAGCGAACTTGTGAGGCCAGCGCAGTTCAGTGCCTGGTGTGCGATTATCCAGTGGGATGGTAAGATACACTTACATCGTGAGAGGTGACGACGCACGGAGGGGCCGTCGAGTGGGTAAATGCAGTGATTGATACTACAAGTGCGAGCAGGCGGTCAGGCTGCTCTAGATCGATCTATTTGGGCTCTCGTTACGGGCTGAAATACGAGGAGTGATCTTATGCGGGACACAACACGCTGTGATAGTACTTACTCGGGAGTCGGTGCAGGGCGGCTAGCAGCAGACGACATCAATAAAGTTGAGGAGGAGTGAATGCTAGAATGATGTCGCGAATTTTGGTGAATTCAGCTGGTGGGTCATTACAGCAGTTTACGAAAGTCATAAAATTTTTACGTGAGTGCGAGGAAAAAGGAAATCAGTGAAATATGTACTTTCGCAACTTGTAATAGGGACACGAAGGAAGTCAATGTGGGAGGACAGGACACTGGTCATTTTCCCTAGTTGGTGAGCCAGTCATACGCCGCTTGAAAGCACTCCATGGCAAGGCTGGAGCGCATCCCAGAGGTGAACATCCTAAATAAAGTTATATTTCGCTAAGTAAGACCATAAAGAACGGGCTCTGCACAATCTGCTATCTTGCAAGAGCTCTGACTTCTCAACCTCCAGCCTCCTATCCAAAGAAAGTAGATATCATCCCACTGCCTGATCCCCCCAAACTTCGCCTCCGCCGCCACAAAAGTCCTTATCCCACCCCCAATGGTCGTGCATCCGATCGAGGCTTCACGCGTCATACCATCAATCATACATACTGCACCGATGTGAAAGCAGAAACACAACTTACTGCCACTAGACGCAGAAAAAGACGACCTGCCACGCCGGTGAGTCATGTGGTTAAATCCAAGACGCAAACTACTTATACTCACGCATTTACGTTTATATAAGTTGATCGGGCATTCATGGCAGTTGCTACTCTTGGTGCAAAAGAAAGGACAATGTTCACTGTCAGGGTCACTGGCAGGTATTGATGCTGCAGATATTGATGTTGTCAAAGCAGCAATAACGGCGAGCCTGATAACGGAGCAATGCATTGTGTTTATGAGGGTGTGATATGGGATCAAACAAATCTGAAGGGGACGGTAGGAAGACATCTTGCATTTATGTGAAGAACCTATCCACCTGAAATTCCCTTTCGAATAGATGATATCTGCAATGCCACCAGATTGCCACCTAAGATCTACCTTGTGAAAGAAGGTCTATTGGCAATTTGGCCGCTGATGTGGAACAAAATATCACCTTGCAAAAAAAACAGTAGCCGCATTTGTAGGGGCCAGGTTAAAATGACGCAGTCGTGCCGACAGATTATACCTTTGGACTGGATATACTAACCTTCGAAGATCATGTTCTGTTGCGGGCTTCTGTGTTCGTACAGCTCGGGATTCTACTATCGAGTTGTAATATCCCTCTCGTATTCTCTATAATGGGATCTAATGTAAACTTTTAGATGAGGCTGCATGAAGTGCTATCAGCCTGCCAAGTCTCGTCGTCACCCACCTTGTCAAGCTATATGCACCGTCAGTACTATCATAATGTGAAGCCTCATCCTGATGCTGCGTCAAGACCACGTCAGGCCCCACGCAACTATCATGTCAAGCCCCTGGCTACACATGCTGCATCAAGCATTACCCGTGCTGCACCAAGCTAAGCGATGCCGCATTAAGCCTCATTTTACCGCCGGTCAGCGCATCGTCACAGCCGCGTCAGTGCTGCGTCAAAACCCACATGCCGCGTTAAGTGGTATCAATCTTCCGTCTGTACAGGGTTGTGCCAAGATACAGCCAGCTGGAGTATATCCGGCCCGCCAGATGCTATCCCAGTGACCGACACCTCTACTAGTAAGAACATCCGTCCCGAGACTCGAAACGTCAAGATTTCTCATGCAACCTCAAGATTATCCTGCATCATGCGCCTGAGCTCCGTTTCTGGAATCCTCGCTTCAAACTCGGTTGGGCACGGCTGCTTTGGTATGTCCCCGTTCATGTAAATCATGTCATCCAACGGCTGCGTGGGATTAAGAGCGAGCCGGAAGGCCCAGAGAATAGGAGTGAGTTAATGAATACCGATCTGTATTGATTGACATCAAGTAATTGACCCGAAAACGATAAAATCTTGGAAAGCTCTATCTGCTATATAAAATTTATCAAAATTGTACCCCACATGGGAAAGCTTTGAATACCCGGACTAAGTTGGATGAAACCCGCCAAATGTACCATTGTGACGGTCTGGTCACAATTACCTGTAGCTAATCCCCGAGATGGCAAATATTGCAACACCTACCAGCTGTGGCAACGGAAGATTACATCAGCAAAGTACAATTTTCCCCTCAGAAGTCCACAGTGTGAACACCTAAAGTGACAGCTCACCCCAGCACCAGCCAGCACCTCAGACCACCACAGTACCCACAGAGCACCAGAGCAATTTCACATGCTCCAACATTTAGTACTTTCAAACTTCGCAAATTTTCATTAAGTTCTGCATGTACTAGTAGTTCTTAATATTTAGTATGTATTACCTATGTCCTTCCTCATCCCAGTGCTGCTCCCACATCAAAATACGACTCCAATGTCCACCCACCTATTGTTCCCACCTTTCTTACTTAATAAAGTGGTACCTAAGATGTTCACATGCCACTACATTAGCTTAAAAAGGTCTATTTGTGAGGACCGGTGGTCCAGACCAGCATCCTAAGGGAACTTATATTGTACTGTAGTATATGGAGCACGTGAGCAAGTGAGTAATGTCTAAATATGGTAGTACCACGCCACCACCGTTGTCATCAACAACATGCTCGCTGTCTCCCATGATGAGCTCACTACCTGCCTCAATTTTAGTTGTTTAAGGGCACATTTTTTTTCATCCTCCTCCTTCCACTCCCAACTAATATATAATTTAGCTTTCTTCACAGCACAGATGCCAAATACAGAGCTGTATACGGTATGTATTTTATGTCACAAGGTTTGAACTATGGGTGACATATGTCACATGCCACCCTCAACCTTTCAACCACCTTCCACACATCACGCCACCTGTTCTTTAGCCTCCTTTCACCCTGTGTTAGTGATGACCAAAGGACTCTACAATGCACCCAGTGTGTCTCAAGCAGCATGGATATCCATTGGAAAGCGCAGGATCAATGAGGTCATCTATTATCTCGCTATGAGGTTCTCCAGTGGGAGCACTATTGCCCACACTGCCATTGTTGTCTCTGTCTCTGCTGTTGTCTCCGTCTCTGTCATTGCTATTGCTGTTGCTGTTGCTGTTGTCGATGTCGATGTTGTTGCTGTTGTCTCCATCTCCATCTCTGTCATTGTTGTTGCTGTCTCTGTCATTGTCATTGTTGCTTTCATAGGGTTCTGTGTCAACTTTGTTCAGTGACAAGTCTTCACCAGCATCAATGTGCTCCATGCACTTGATGGCTTCATCTTTTGAAATCCTAACAAACTGGCATGTTCGATTGTCGATTGCAAGTGCAAGCATCTGCAAGGCATCAACACCGCCCTTGAGGTTGCTTGGATTACCCCAGTGATCGTGACACCAGCCAACAATTTTGACGAGATGAGCCTGGACCATCTGCTCATAGTGGACAAATTCAAGTGTTGCATTCTGGTCCTCAGTCACCTCAACTAATTAGGTAGATTAGAAGATTGTAAATAAATAAAATGAATGCATACCTAAACTTTGATTCAACCCATTTCAAATTGAGCTCTTGGCAGCGAGTTTGCAATCAGTGTAAGTCATAGAGAAAACTAAGCAAGCATGATTAGGATTAGCAGCTTGAAACCACCTATTGGCTCAAAAATCTCACCGTTTTGTGTTGGGAGCCCAGTGAGAACTGTAGATTCCATCTTAATCCCAAATTTCATGGGATCCTTGTGTAAGAGTGTGTGGACAAAGTGGGACACCACGTCACTGGTAAAGTGGACTTTGGGCAACATGTTGAGGTTGGTCAAACTTCGCACTGCAACGATCAAGGTTTTGGTACCTACACGTTCCTTGAGTGCTTCAGCCTGTCGGAGAACAGTTAGATTTTGCATACTGTAAGGACCAGTTGGAACTCACCTCACTGACCATTGCAGCAAAGCTATGATTTACCTCTGCAAGACGAGTACAAGTGGTGACATTTGGCGGCTTACTCTGTCCGGAGCTCTTGATTTTATTGAATTCCTCTACCATCTCTGAGTGTTGCTCCAATGTAAGCTGGTGGTATTCCTCTGTGTCACGAGCGAGGGCACGAATGTTGCTTCATTGTCCTACTTCTTATCTGCAAGCAATCAGTACAAGTTTGTTCAATACTAGTCACCACAAAGAACATACCTGCATTAAAATTTTGACCTTTGAAGTGCAGATATGTGGACCAGGAACTGGTCTTATTGTGCCGTTTTCTTTGCATTGCTGAGCTGATGAAAAAAATTTCCAGATAATGTCAGCGACTTCGACCAAACTGTTGAGCTAGCTCTGTAGCTTGTTCATCAATATAGGTCAGGACCTCATCTACCGCAGCATCCTCATCAGCACGCTTGGAACGCTGTCGGTGTTACAGTAACACGAGCGTTACACGTCATTTCATTCTTCGGACTCGTCTAGACCTGGACCATGGTTACGACTATTCTATTTTCATCACTTCTTTTGATTCCGTTGTTCTGAAATGCAAGAAGCTCTCACTTCTTCTCCTAGATCACAGAAGCCACGGCTTCTACCACACCCTATGCCCTTCCCCTTGTTTCGGTTCTCTCATTGATGGGGATTCCCCATGCCCTTTGCCCTTACCGTTCAACCGGTAATTCTTACCTTCTTTTACTTATGACTCACACAACCCCCGACCCTTACCATTACCTGTTATGACCAGCGTCCCTTAACCTAACTAGTAGGTGTCTGGAGTATGGATCACACCACAGGACTCAGTCTGAAGAGGTAAGCAAGATGGATTTGAGAGGGAACGTCTAGGCCCTACGATAACGTAGAAATGAGGAGGTTAAGTCTAAGGAGTACTACTGACTACTACCTAGACTATATACTACTATTGGGGCGGAGCTATCTGAGTATGAAAGGTATGTGATATAACTATATACGGTCATAACATTGCACCTAGGGTATAGGGCGTCTTATCAACCAATCAACTACAAGAAGAGAAGGGTAAAGGGTTCATAGGGCCAAGGGTATCGGTAATTAAGCAGGGTTCTCAGGGACTGCTTCTATTCAGGGTGGACGGAGATTAAGAAGGGTGTGAGAGAGTTCTGTGATAAGAAGTCTCGAGCGGTGATTAAGGATCTCGATTAGAGATAGGATCTTGGGATCTAGATCTAAGGATCTAGATAGGATCTGGATCTGGAGATGTATCGGGTACGATCGGATCTAAGGGTTCTCCAGAGTCTTCGGTAATGAACATGCTTCTCTATGAGCGATGCTTCTGTGATAGGGGTTCGGGGTTCTAGCTGTGACTGTGCAACAGGTTCTTATGTAAGGAATTCGGTGAATGACAGAGGTAACTCTTAACATGTCATGAGAAGTGAAGGTGTGCGATGTGAAGAGATGATGACCCTTTGAGAGATAGCTCGTAGAGTACTCTCGGTTATGGTTTGATTATAGAGGCATGTAGATGCTTATGATGTAACCCGTTGCCTAATCGTAGGACTTGTAAGGATGTGATGAGTTCGTATGTCTAGGGTTACGGATAAGGATGGATGACGTTGATATAGTATAGATGTGATGTGAAGATAGTGATCGTTAATCGGTTATCCATCTTATCTTATCAGGGATCTATCTAATCTAATCTTATCGGATAAGGTGACTTAGGGTTCGATAATCGAAATTTAGATGCAGTTGGTAACATTCATGACATTACCTCGGTATTGCCTCCGCATACCCTGTACCCTTACCGTTCCACCGGTATCTCACCCTTACGTATATATATCTCATTTGTACAGTAGACAGATTCTCTAACTTGAATCTACTCGGTTCTCATCTGATCTTGTCGTTGGGTCTGAACTTCTCTTATCTAAGAGAACTCCCTCTGTACAAAGAACCATCTCCTCTTGAGACAATACTCTTGAAGTTAAACTCCGTCTCTTGGATCGTATCCTTGAGAAACTCCAAATCAACTCTACGCAAGTAAGGGCCTCAACCCTTACTCAGACTCAGCGCAGGCAAGCCCCTTGCTGGACTAGCACCGAAGGCCACGCTTCGAACGCCCCTTGCGGGTTTAGCGCCACCGGATCTCATCCGAGAGGTTTCGTGTAACAGTTGGGTGGTATTAGCCTGGCGAGCTTCTCAGGATAGCTTTGGGGCCTTCTTGCACCCATGACGAGCAACAAGGCGATGTCTGCTGCTCAAGAAGACAGCATGCACCAAGGATAGAAAACAAGCTGTACTCAGAAATGGAGCAACTGAACTTAAATTTGTGAAGTCAGCACACAGCATGGTATTACATTGCAAAAAAAATTAGTGGAGGCACAATCATGGAGGGCGAGTTGAGTTGACGGTCCGAATGACCGAAGCAGTCTTCTAGGAGAGGGATATGAAGAAGAGCCACCGGGCTCCTGATTTGTGATCCTACTAGTTGCTGGTGTTGACACTGGTGTGATGGAAACCGCATGCATGGAAAGATGTGATGTGTTTGATGGAGTGCAAGCTACATTCAGGCTGTGAGAATTGGCACGAGATGGCATGGCGGATGGTGTAGCCTGAATTTGGTGCATTTGAGCTATAGTCGTGCCCTGAGATGGTGTGGCGGACGATTGGGTGGAAGCCTGAATTGGGGGTTGAAGGGCCAAAACATCGCCTGGGAAATGAGGGCTAACCCTAGCATGCATAACATCATACATCGAGGGTGAAAGTGGGTAGCGAGGCAAATTGTGTCTGATGGTGACGTGGCGTAACTGGTTAACCTGCAGGCAAAATTAGTTATGTAAAATGCACAATATAAAGTTGACTTATGAGATCATCTGTGCTATCTCTCGCAACCAATGAAGTGCAGCTAGATAAAGGGACTTGCTGATTGATCCAACGAACACATGACAGTCTTCCAGAGATAGAAGAAAACAGTACCATGGAGTCAGTGGTTGCTCTCATGGCAAATATATGGTCAAGACAACCAACAGGTTGCCCCAGGATGTCGAAGTCAGAGGAATGAGTACCACTAGAAGGCAAGGGGATGAGGGGGATCGCATCATACTCATGCTGCACCAAGTGACTTCGAAGATCCTGCCTCCATCCATGTGCAAGTTGAGCTTCGTGGAAAGATTGTGCGACTGGAAGAGCGCATCCCTCGATGAAGAGTTGGGTGATTTGTGCAATGGTTTGATGACATTCTGTCTGCTGAGCAAGAAGCCTTGGATTGATATAGAGTGATGCACTGAGATCTTCAGCATGAATGTCGGTCAAAGGTGCAGTTGCACCTGGATGATGTAGACACAAAGTTGTGCCACCAGAAAGACGATCGAGGACAGTACACTGCCAAAAAAAAGTTACTCAAGGATCATTAAATCACGATGCATGACCTACCAAGTCATATATGAGTCTGCACAGATGGACAAGATGTGTGCTTCGCTCTCATGAGGCACCCTGTTTGTCATCACTTGACAACCCATCAAAGCTAGTGCTGGTGTAGTGTTTGATCGTTAAAGGATGAAAGCCTTTGTCGTCCTTGAGGTGGTTGTTATCATTGTGAAATCCATGAGCTAGCATAGCAATCAGAGCAGATATCCATCAATCAGACATATCCATGATGCCTGCAAGTTCTGCAGGGTGAGATATTGCTTCCAGCAATCTGTGGATGCCATCAACGGTGGGAGCATGATTGAAATCGCTATTGGACCAGTTCATTGGTGAATGTGGCAGTGGAACGAAGGTCGGTGTCAATTAAGTACTGACCATATTTGATGCAGTAAAATATGTAAGTGATTAATGCAGCAAAACATCTGGCTTCATTAAACAATTATTTCCATCATCTCCTTGCCATATCAGAATCATCATCAACATTCGTTATGCTGCTAATACATGGGCCATGAGTCTAATGTGGCTATGCTAGTCTTCCTCTGTCTTGGTGGATCCAATATGCAACTGATAAAAGAAGTCCTCCATCAATGTCTGTTCCTGGCCATCAGGGTCATGCTCATCCTCCTCTAACTCATTAACCATATCTGTGTCACCTTCTGCTTGTGCATCACTAATCATCTGTCCGACACGAGTCCCTACAGCTCTGCTACCTGAAAATCCAGGAATGTGGGAGAGGTGGAAAGTGTTAACAGATTGCAGATGGTGCCAGTGGCGCTGTATCTCAGCTGCAAGAAGTGGGTTAGATTCATGACACTGCTCAATTACAGCTGGAAAAAGAATCACATCATCTCGAATCTTCGTGTGAAGGCGCAGAGTCTCTACATTGCAGCGCACAATCTCCTCCTTTGAATGTTCTAGATCAAAGTATTTTCCCGATGCTTGATGATTATGAGGGACTGACCAATGCTTGTTGTGCAACTGGTTCCTGGTGTCTCAAAGCAGGTCAAATTCAGTGAGTTATGAGAACTCGACAACCTGCTCCCACGTGATCGGCGCATGAGGAGGGTCAAGTGTGGCAGCATGTTTATTATATTGGTTGAGGGTGTTCCGGATTGCAGTGGCCCAGGTCTTTAGGGCTTTGGCGATCTGTATTCATAGTTTATAGCCTGTAGTACAAGTCAGCGTGGATCTGATAAAGATTTGAAATTTACCTAAACCACTCATCTGGAGTTTCGTAAGTTCCAGAAGTCGCATGACCACGAGGCACTCCACATCGTCAACAGCTTTATGATACTGTGCATTGGCAATGAGTGATTGCGCTCTAATGCGTTCCACGTGGGTCAGAGACCACCACTCCTCAACACCAATGCGAGCTTCGAAATCCTTGACAACCTGGGCTTTCATCTCCATTTGGTTCTGTGTTGTGGTATGGCAATGGTGTACATTGGCGATGTCCTTATTAGTAAATCCATTGTCAATAACATGTAAGTCGAGGCGATTGAACTCATGTTGGGTGGCCTCCCATTGAGTTCTAAGATAATTAAATGTAAATATGAGTCTAGAAGAATAATCCAGGCTCACTGTGCTAGATCAAGGTCATTCAATGCCTTCACATATTCCACTTGTATACTATCTCCAGACTTGTGTTGACTGGCCACCTCCAGGTAGCTGCGTTCCTCAGCCAGATCCGATTCAAAATCTTGAGGGGTGAGATCAAAATGTTGAAGAAACTCCTTGTGGGAATGAATGCACTTGAGTGCTTGCACATAATTGTGGTAAATGAAGGTACCTGGAAACTGTCATAAGCACATATTAGCACTGGTATGGGAGTGTAGACCAACTGAGAGTAGCATATTTTTCCTCATCAACGAATTTAAAATGTTCATCAAGTGCTTGATGCCTGTGAAATTCAGTTATGTTCCTAATTTTGGGAGCGAGTGCATTAGACTCCGAAAATGTCCATTCACAAGTTTCAAAATCTTCCTTCCCAGCACCGACCATGAACTTCGAGTGGTGCTGTACTTGACAGAGTCTATTGTGTGCATGACCATGAAATCCTGGTACCACTCCTTCAATACCGAAAGCCTGCACTGCAGATCCAAGCGATGAGCGATGTAGAATAGAATGGAATGCACACTTAATGTCATAGCTGTAAAGGAAGGGTTCAGCAAAGACTTCCATCAATTTGCTGATGGTCGCGAGTGGATATTTCATTCTGCATAAATTATTGAGTCAGCAGATCAGCATCAGAATATTGTAATCTGAATAGAACACACAGCTCACCGCTGCAAACCATATCGCATATTGAAAGAAGAAAGCCGTGACGGCATACAGCTACAAAAATGCCTGACTTGTGAAAGACTGCAAACATTTGTTTACGAGCCTTGGGGGCCACATTGCGCCAATGATCGACACATACATTGATTGGCTCATTTGAATCTTGTTCTTCGGCTTCACAATCAACCCATGGATCATCCAGATCCACGGTTTGAGCAGGAGTAGGATGGTAGTGCTGGTGAGCATTCTGAACCTCATCTTTGAATCGGTCAACATATTCTTCATCAAGCCAGATATCAAACTGGCCATTTCGGGGGTCAGAACGCTCTCTTCCCCCATGTAGGGCAGGGTCTACGAATTTTGCCAAGTTGTTGCCATTGAGTGCAACCTCAAATGGAAACTGAAGTTCTGGTTCACCTTCAACCTTGTAATGACAAGCAGGACAAGAGTTACGTGTGTGCCAATTTGGACCTGTATGTCCAAGAGCTTGCAACACACATCATAATATTTTGAGGTACACATCATAGGCAACCCAAAACTGTGCCACTAGATACCGACTGTAACGGACCTGTACTCAGAAGAATTACGTGTATGAAATTTAAAAAAAAAATTTGACTTACATTGTGAAGATGACATAACACTTTCACTTGTGCATGAATGCTCACACATGGACATGCATGGTGAGTCTGATGGTAGGATTCCAGAGTTCATAAAGTGATAAAGTGATGGCGACTGTCGGCTGAATTGGTGATGCTCCTATGCACCCCCATGCCATAAGTGACACATTGAGATGAGCCGAGCAGTGAGCAAAGACAGCATGATAATGTTCTAAGGGAACATGAGGTGCTGCTCAGGTGAAGGAATCTATGACTCACCAAATAAGTCGACGACTTCTATTGAGAATGTCTCCGAGGTCTCATCAGAATCACTGATAGTTGTGGGGAGAGACACAAATGATGGGCTCTCATAACGAAACTGTAGGTATGCATCAACGAGCAACTCATACTGGGCTGCCCAGGATAGTGCTAGTCGGGTTGTGTGGTCATGTCGATCACGGTCATCAATATGAGGACTAAATTATCACATCACACAACAAGTAGAATTGATCAAAATATGAGGCTTACCATTGGGAGGATAGGGCATTACTCAGATCCTCGTAAAGCTCAAGCTCTCCATCACCATGACTGACTGAGAAGCCTTCCTCGCCCACTGGAGGGATAATTGTTGAAAAATTGAAGTCATGGTTGAAGCTGTTGTTTGTGAGGTCGTAAGGCAGATCTGAGGAAGGTTTGGCTGTAGTGACATCTTTTTCTGCTTGCAAAAAGTGTTCCCACTGGTGCAAGCTCACCTCTAATGATCAATTATGCAGGGCAACACTGAAAAAGAGTAGGAAGTACGCACTACGGAGCTGCGCTGCACATTCTGAGGATGCTACCATTGCCCGCTTGGCGCAATCTTTGTTGCGAATCACCTGGGTTCTCCTCCCTCCAATGGATATCCATGCTGCTTGAGACATGCTGGGTGCATTGTAGAGTCCTTTGGTCATCACTAACACAGGGTGAAAGGAGGCTAAAGAACAGGTGGCGTGATGTGTGGAAGGTGGTTGAAAGGTTGAGGGTGGCATGTGACATATGTCACCCATAGTTCAAACCTTGTGACATAAAATACATACCGTATACAGCTCTGTATTTGGCATCTGTGCTGTGAAGAAAGCTAAATTATATATTAGTTGGGAGTGGAAGGAGGAGGATGAAAAAAAATGTGCCCTTAAACAACTAAAATTGAGGCAGGTAGTGAGCTCATCGTGGGAGACAGCAAGCACATTGTTGATGACAACAGCGGTGGCGTGGTACTACCATATTTAGACATTACTCACTTGCTCACATGCTCCATATACTACAGTACAATATAAGTTCCCTTAGGATGCTGGTCTGGACCGCCGGTCCTCACAAATAGACCTTTTTAAGCTAATGTAGTGGCACGTGAACATCTTAGGTACCACAACTACAGACTGAGATTATTTGTTCTAATTGGTCTCACTTAGCCCCGCGGAAGCGCAGGCGGCGAGGATTAGCCAGCAAGAGGGCCCTTCATGCGAGGGCAGCGAAGGACCCTATGAAAAATTGAGCAATGTAAATAAGTACAAAGCAGCAACCGACGGGAAACTCGGAATATGAGAAAAAATGAGAACTTGAATCTCAGACGTGCAGAATTTGTGCGTGGAGAGTGCTATAAGGTGTTACTTTTGGGTGGGATGGAGGGAAATTAATGGGGAAGTGATGTAGATGGGAAGTGACTGGAAGTAGGTGTAGTTGGGTAGATAAGTAAAAAGGCAAAGCTTGAGTGTAAACGATGGGAAACATGCACATAAAAACAGAGCAAGTTCTGAATAAAAATTAAGGGATGGACGCGAACAGATCACGTCCATTGCGTGTGGACCGACCATTGAAGATAAGACTGTGAAGAAGAGTAGGATTTTTTCGGATATATATCCGAAAGGACTCTGAGGACCAGCGGCCGATGGCTTGAATATGGGATGCTGGAACTCCACTGGCTGCAAGTGAAGTAGCTCCCCCGGCTCTCATCGAATGCCCCGCGATAGTTGTAGGGAAGAATTGACACAACTTCCGAATGAACCAACTGCGAGTTGGTACCGAACCATCCGCTCGAAGCCATAGAGTTGAATGAAAGGGAAATGATGAGTCGCGCAATTTTAAGTACTCCTTGAAGACCTGATGAGGGTCTGGCAAGGAATCAGTGTGACGAACAACGACAGTCGCTCCCTCAAACTGTGCATCCGTTTTGTAGGACGGGAGAACGAAGGAATGATGATGGTCTTCTAATACAACCGAGGTGCGCTGCATCAATTTTCTCCTATTCTGCAACTTTTTGTCGTCGGGCCAGACTAATTCCCCAAGACGAAGGAGCGCATAGAAGCCATCAAATAGTTGAGTGAGGAACAACTTGTCATCATGAGAGAAGGGATGAGGTAGGTCGCTGTGAACTTGCTGCAAGTTTGCGCGCATGAGTGGGAGTTTTCATTTAACTGGAACCCCATATCATCATTTTGCGCCCTTCAGAGTTCACAAAATCAGACACGAGTGATGAATTGAGCAAACAGCTGGATAGAACTCCTCGAGTTGACTACAAATACCCGACAAATAGTTATCGACCGAGCGTGGGCTGATATGAGCGGACATGTAAGAGACAAAGTAGGAGAGAGTGTCGGGTGTAGGTTCAACCGAGAATTGATGTAGGTCACAAAAAGTGACATAAGAGTTAAGGGCAGAAGAGTATGTGCGATTGGTGGAGCGTTCAAGGGTCATTCTGAGATTGATTGAACGCTCATGATTGAGTCGTTCGATAGACCAGGCTTCCCTAACGGGTTGCCTGGCATTGCGCGAAAGTGACATCATTTTTTCCCTGCCCCCAGCGCATTCCGAGGGGGTTCAAAAGGGAAGATTCGAAGGTGAGAATTACACTTCAGGGCCTCCCGGAACCTGCTACGCAAAAGATGATCTGCAATGACGTTATGCTCTCCTGAAATGTGAAACACACGAAAGTTAATTGAGGCTGTGATAACAACATCAATTGAGACAATGAGGAGCAAATTGAATCCCAGTGAAGCCTTCAATGAATTGAACATTGCGACGGAATCCAGGCTGTCAGTAAAGACAGCCAATCTTCCTCCTGAAGGTAGGCGAGAGGTGGCGTCTTGAATAGCCGAACAGATACAGAGAGCTTCAAAGAAGTATATGTCATGAACAGGAGCTTGCGATGGGAGTGAGGACTGGAAACTGAGGTTCAAAGATGGATACCAGAATCCCATTCCAGTTCCTGAGGCGTCACAATATACTTTGAGCACTTGATCCGTGATGCGCGAAAAGTCCCATGAGATAGACTTGAGGAGGTAGACTCCATCCGATTGTTGGAGATGATCCACTACCCAAAGTACCTCTCTAACCACGTCTCGGTTTAACCAAATGAGCCCCTATGAATTAACCTTTCCTTTCATCTTTTTGTAAAGGGCCGAAAGCCCTGGTCGCAGCAATAGGACAGATGTTGAGGGCCCAGTTAAGTGACCCTGCAATCTGCTCGCATTCCCGCAAGGTGCGTCGACTTTTGTGATGGGCGAATTCCCGTAATTCCGAAATGAGGCGAGTTTTTGATTCGTCCCGCAAAGTTATCCGCATTTGATTTGGATCAACGTCAAAACCAATGACTGGAAGGGGCGATCCGTAAATTTGTTTCCGCTCATTGTGGGGAATTCCGAGCTCATCCCATAGCGTGAGCAATCTGACCATGTCACGAGGGAGCATCTTTTGATATTTGTGATAGAACGCAAAATCTTCAGCTTCTGCATAGGAGAAGGAGTTGTCAACGTAAATGTAAGCGAGAATGAACCGCACGAAAACCACGAGCCAAATGACTAAGGACATGAAGGCGTGAAATATGCACTGGGACGCTCTCCCACCAAAGACATTTGCTCGATCGACCCGTCTTTGTCCATTGAATGATACAATTTGCTTTATTTGCCATAATGGATGCATGGGCATATGATGGTATGCCTCTGATACATCGGCCTTCCAAATCGTGAGAGGATGATCAGGGTTAGTGGTCCGATAACAACGGAGAGCGTTTCCGAGGTCTTGAACATTGTCGAGAGTAACGCCAGCAATGTCTTCCTTTGTGATCATTGAGTTAAGCGAGTATTCACCAGCGCTGTGGTTCGTAACTAAGCGAAACTTTCCTCCCTCCTTTGGTACAGCGTGAATGGGCATTGAATACATCCCCAGCAAGAGATCGCGACCGAAATTGCGGGAATATCTCCCAACTGCCTCCTCCTTCAAGATCTGATCATGAAGGAAGCAGAACTCTTCCTCCGTCTTTGGCTCTGGTGTGCAAACATCCAGAGTTGTTGGGTAAGTCCCGTAATGAGTATCTGCCCAGGGCCAGAAGCCCTCTCGTAAACCCGTACAAACCGACTGATAAAAAGGGACATTGGGATGACCTGAAGAGATAAGTAAAGATTCAAAGATATCGATATGGATCGGAGTTGACACTTGAAACAAATCAGAATGAGTAGCGATTGTATGCAACGCTTGTTCGTTTTGAAACTCCTTTTGAGGAGGACGAGGAAGGGGTTGCGCAGTTTCAGTCCAGACTGCAGTATGACTGAAAACGGGTGAGTTCTCTCCCCACACCATCCTCCACCTAAAGCGCTGCCCCTTAGCGATCCGCTCATTGAGTTCCCTTTGCCAAAGGACACTCCGCTCGCCTGTGCGCTCCTTTGCAATTTCCTCTATCGCAGACGTGGTAGTAGAGGCAGTCTCTCACCTCCTTTTCGCACTGACCCCTGTTCCATTTATGACACGGTTCTCCGAACCTGGAACCTCCAGTGGGCTGTTTAGCCCCACCTTGAGATCTACCGCCTCGTTCGGATGTGCCTGACCCTGACTTAGAGAGCTGGTTGATGGCAACCATTCCAAAGGAATGAGAGGTGACTAGCTCTGAGTCCTTCGAAATGTCCAAAACTGTCGAACCACAAATACTTCTGCTGTTCGATGAGGAGCCTGAATGGCTCGATCAAAGTCGAGAACTTGTTTGTGGGCTGAGTAATGTATCGTCCCGAAGATGTCAGACATGAATTTGCGAAATTCTCTGAGTTCTCTCTCTCTCCAGGGCATGATGAATACAAGGGCTTCATTCCAGAGATTGGTAGCGATGCTCCAATCTCCAAAGGTTTTGACCCTCTGAGTAGCTGTAGGTTGGGATAGAGTGAGTTCGAACCCGCTTCCGAGCACTTGGGTTTGTTTTGAATCAATGGCGGTTGAGTAATGGCCTGAGAAGACTTTGTCAAGATCAAGGGCTCGTCCTTCGAGAAGAAGGAGCCATTGGGAGGATGGTAAGCTCGGACACCCGGGAGTAGTTGTGATTTTGGTACGAAAGAACTTAGGGTCCTCCGACCATTCCTCATAACACTCAAGGGTAAGTTTGAGGCTTTCATCGGGTGTACAGTGTCAGAACTTATCAGGATTGAGCCACAGGAAGAAGTTGGTCTGGTCGCTGGAGATCTTTCTTCTTTTCCTCCACTGCACGAACTCCTCTCCGGATTTCGATGTCTGAGTTTTCAGTCAATCTCAGTCTCTTTTGATCTGACAAATCCTCATCTAATTCGTTGTTGAGAGCTCGACCCCTTTTCAGAGATTTCATCGTCATGTTCCGAACATGTCTGTCCATGTTGTCGGTCATTCTCCCTGATTTCATCATCCTTCTGGGTGTCAGTCGAGGAGTTCAAGATAGTGATTGAATCCAGGATTTAAAGGTGGCGCTATCTTCATTCTCGGTCGCGATTGCAAGCTCCCAATGAATGCGGAGTATTGCTTCACCTTTTGATATTCTATGTTTTCGGTAGTTGATGACAGATTTGATACATTGTTCGACGACTTCTGAATTAAAGGATTCAGATCTGTCGGAATGGTGGTCACTTCCTGGTGAGGAATGACGGGTTTGTGATGATGCTTCAGCATTATCAGTCATTGATGAGAAATTGAATTTCAATGATAAAATTTGATAGCCGAAAAGTTAAGCACTGACACGACGACGAGCAGATGAGAAGAGACGCTAACTAGAGATTGATACCAGCGACGTACCTGACACGACGACGAGCAGATGAGAAGGGGGGCTGCCTCCTAATTGCTCAGTCATGTCAGGTAGAGGTCGAGATTGTTGAGATCGCTCGGCATGATCGACAAGCCGAGAGCGCCCAGAGCGCGTGCCACAAAGGCAAAGGGAACTGGCCCTAAGGTAAGCCCGCACGTGAAAGCTTAGTCATAAGTATCAACCAATTAGACTTGTGTAAAAAAGATTAAACTCGGCTAACTAGCGTCCCTCCCATCCGCTCGTACCTGTGCTTCACCACAGAAAATTCAGGTAGCGAGCTTGTTGTATGGCTAGTGTGCAATTTATATCCATATTAAGCTCTCGTGCAAGGTCCTCGAGTGTCCGTTCAAGTTGAAAGAGTGCTTGAATGATCATAAAAAAGATATAGGATTCTAAGTATTGCTGATGTAGCGAGCCACGAGCCATGTGTAGTATGGTTAGGGAGTTAACTGCTTACATAACACACCGCTAACCCTTGTTCTTGCAAGAGCTCTGACTTCTCAACCTCCAACCTCCTCTCCAAAGAAAGTAGATATCATCCTGGCACTGCCTGATCCCCCCAAATTTCGCCTCCGCCGCCACCAAAGTCTTTATCCCACTCCCAATGGTCGTGCATCCGATCGAGGCTTCACGCGTCATGCCATCAATCATACATCAGCACCGATGTGAAAGCAGAAATACAACTTACTGCCACTAGACGCAGAAAAACCAGACCTGCCACGCCGGTGAGTCATGTGATTAAATCTAGGACGCAAACTACTTATACTCACGCATTTACGCTCGTAGAAGTCGGTAGGGCAGCCATTGCAGTTGCTATTCTTGAAGCACATGAAAGGACATCCTTCACTGTTAGGGTCACTGGCGGGTACTGATGCTGCAGATATTGATGCTGTCAAACCAGCAACAACGGCGAGGATAAAGGAGCAATGCATTGTTTGTGAGGGTGTGATATGGGATCAAACAAATCTGAAGGGGACAGTAGGAAGACATCTTGTTTTTATGTGAAGAACCTATCCACCTGAAATTCCCTTTCGAATAGATGAGATCTGCAATGCCACCAGATTGCTATCCTAAGATCTACCTTGTGGAAGAAGGTCTGTTGGCAATTTGGCCGCTGACGTGGAACAAAATATCACCTTGCAAAAAAACAGCGGCCGCATTCGTAGGCGCCAGGTTGAAATGACGCGGTCGTGCCAACAGATTATACCTTTGGACAGGATATACTAACCTTCGAATATCATGTTCTGTTGTGGACTTCCGTGTTCGTACAGCTCGGGAGTCTACTATCGACTTGTAATATCCCTCTCGTGTTCTCTATAATGGGATCTAATGTTAACTTTCAGATGAGGTTGCATGAAGTGCTGTCAGCCTGCCAAGTCTCGTCGTCACCCACCTTGTCAAGCTATATGCACCGTCAGTACTATCATAATGTGAAGCCTCACCCTGATGCTGCGTCAAGACCACGTCAGGCCCTACGCAACTATCATGTCAAGCCACACACATGCCGCATCAAGCCTCATTTTACCGCCGGTCAGCGCATCGTCACAGCCGCGTCAGTCAAAATCCACATGCCACGTCAAGTGGTATCAATCTTTCGTCTGTACAGGGTTGTGCCAAGATACTTGAATATATCCAGCCCGCCAGATGCTCTCGCAGTGACCGATACCTCTACTAGTAAGAACATCCATCTCGAGACTCGAAACGTCACGATTTCTCATGCAACCTCAAGATAATCCTGCATCATGCGCCTGAGCTCTGTTTCTGGAATCCTCGCCTCAAACTCGATCGGGCACGGCTTCTTTGGTATGTCTGCGTTCATGTAAATCATGTCATCCAACGGCTGCGTAGGATCCAGAGCGAGCCGGAAGGCCCAGAGAATAAGGAGTGAGTTGATGAATACCGATCTATATTGATTGAAGTGAGCTGGGAAGACGCTCGAAGACGATGCGCGTGGAAGGATATTTTTACCTGTTCGCAACATGTTGACCGGGGCATACACTGGAAAGAATGTCATTCAAAGCACCAATAGCTGAAAGGCGGACCTTACCGCCGACCAAACCCGTAGACAAAGAACTTCAAATCGTCTCTCAGGCGACCGTGATCGTCAATCCAACGTTCAGGCTTGAACGCGTAAGGCTCAGGGTACACTTCTGGATCTCGAGAGATGGACCTAAGGCAATAATCATCATATACTTTGTGACTTGAAGCACAATACTTACCAATGGTTGCCGAATACCATAGTCCCAGCTGGAATACAATAGTTCTCCTGATGCCAGATCGTCATTTTTACGATATGTTTTTTCGGTCATATTACTTGCCCAAATCACTTCCTTAGTTGTTTTGTGAGGGAATCCTGCAGTGTGAACCTTGTAAACTTCAGATAAAAAACCACAATGAGAATACCCACCACTGGCAGCCACGGGTCTCCATCTCAAAGCCTCAGAAATGAAGGCTTGCAGGCGAGGAAGGGAATTCTGGTCGGCGAAGGTCGGCGCTTTAGTGGAGAAATAATCAAATCCATAGAATTGCCTTAGAGAATCGAGCTACCTCGGTTCCTTCCGATGACCGCATCGAGCTCGGCCTGAACTTTAGCTTGCTCCTCGGGGAAACATGCAGCAGCCATGAACACCGTACATATTGCAACAGAAGTCTTTTACCTGATTTGAGCTATATATCTCGGAGACAACAGAACAACACCTCACTGTATTGGATCCAGCTCCAAAGAAAGCACCAGCAAGAGAGCTCATCTCAGCCTCTGACAAACCATAGAGATGTCCACTTTCTAGCATATATTTTGCGAACGAAGGGCCGATGTCCACATTGCTCTGCTGCGGAACAACTCAGACGTTGCATATGAAGATTGGCAACGCAATACATACCATTTGCTCTTTCACGCGGTTCATGTGACCAGCATTGAGTTTCGTGTGCCTCTCAGACCCCCGTCTTATATCCCGGCCATACCAAGGAAGGTATTTGAGCCAAGGGATTGAATCCACCAGGTAAGCACCAGGGCGGACGACTTCAGTAATCATACTGAAGAGTTCATTAATCTCAATGACTTCGGGATCAGTCGCAGACGTGGGCGTATTCTTCCCGTATGCAACTTTCATAACTGTCGTCGCAGAATAACTTCAAAACGCCTGTGAGCGATGTACTATCATATGCAAAAACGCTTACGTTGACACATGGTTCTGGAAGTTGTGTGGATCGTCAAGGATGTCAAGGACAGTGTGCTTCGCGTGTGAAATTTGCATGGGCTCGTAAGCCTCAGCTGCTTTAGGCTGGAGGTGCGTATGAAGTACTCTGCATCACGTTGAATGAGATAACATAGGGGAAAGTATCGCGGATTACTAACCTACGCATGCGACGAAACCTTTCCCCAACGGGTGCAAAGGTAATGCCGAGACCGCGGCCAAACATTTCTCCAGCAGCAACCATGCGAGGACGATCAGCCAACGATTTCCCCTGGTTCTCCATGATATCTATCGCGGCCTGCAAGAGAACTTCTGTTGAGCCTGTATATGACGACTCTGCGTGGAGGGACTGACTTTGTAACGTCCGATAATAACGACGTTCATATATCCCAACCGAATGGTGATCAGAGGACCGTACATGTCTATCCATCCCGCTACAGTGAGAAATGCGCTTATCATCGATAAGATACAATCAGCATTCAAAGCGATGGGTCAACCGAGAAAATTTACTTGCGAGGCGGAAGGACGTGCCCCCAAAGTCTCCAAGTGGGAGGGGACGGTGGGAGAGGCAGGCCACTCTCTGATTTCGGAAGGTAAGCCCAAGAAATTACACCTACTATTACACCAAGACAAGCTGCACCAAGGACAAGCTGCGTGTTGTCAGAAAATGAAATACACAAGTTGTGCAGCTGCAACGTAGCTGATGGAAGGAGCGCAAGGAAGGGTTCAAGGAGGGAATTCATCGTAAGGTAAGCAGTATTCAGGTGATGAACGGCTCTTTATGCAAATACCACATGCCAATCGTAGCCAGTGGTACCCTGATAATGGATCGCTCGACCGAAAAGTTGGTAGGAGAAGCCCAATCTGGAGAGCGCCTCTGACCAACCTCTGACCATACTGATGCCGACTTGATGCCGAGGGAGACCTGCATGGAAACCAGAGCTTGCAAATCAAACTTCAAATTCCTCATTCTAATCCGTTGGCGCCACGTCTTCCGGAACTCTGCGAGCCACGACATACGCAGAAGCGTTTTGATGGCAATTCCTTCGGTAGAACCGGTGGAAATTGAAGCTCTTAGGTATTTTCCTTCGATCGTTCTGGCTAGGGGAGAATAACGGGTTTTTAGGTTCGATCAGGAACACTACTATGTAGTGCACAGCGGGTGAAACTCGTGTGTGAATATTTATCAGCAGACAGACTCCCGGCGATACCTTTGAGCTTGCTAGCTTGCCAAGAGACGATTCAAAACCTCTCAGAACACTTGTGGGAATACGTAATGTAAGGAGACTTGCAAAATGACCATTCCCGTTCCAGGTGAAGGTGAAGGAGAATATCGAATGTCCGTTGCCTTCGATCATCGTACGGGTTGAGCGCTCGTCTATAGACTCCACAGATCCGTGTTGCTAGACGCATACACGCAATCTGCCATAAGTGTGCGATTTTAGTCGCAAGCGCCGAAGGAATGCAAGACAGGTCCGTCAGTTTGGGGATTGTGCAGGATTGTGGCTAAGTAGTATCGGGATGCTCACAGAACAGGCGTCGTGCGGTGTGGATACAATTCTGTGATTTCATTCTTAGTTTTTGCTTCTTGGAGAAGCGCGGAGGTTACAGCCAACACATCCTGCGACGGCCTGTTGCGCGTTTCCGCAAAGCGGTGACATTTGACAAATAAACGGTGGGGGGTTTCAAAATATGCAAATCCGAACCGGCATGATGATAGTGAGGTTTTCCCATGACGTAAGAAGCGAACACTTGCAGTGTCCTTGCATACAATTGTACGATGGCGTGTGTAGAAATGGGTGATCCGGGGGAGTGTGAGTCATAGAGAGGTATTGCGAGGGCGAGGGCGGGTGTGAAGGCGGGATCAGCTGCAGCTTTGTGCGAGAGTGTGTAGGTAAGGAGTGATGGTAGAGAGGATTCGATAAACTTATACATTGGAGAATACGGGGAGAAGTCGTCAAGAGTGAAGTGGCAAAAGGAACGGCGTAAGGGCGGGGGAAAAGATGGTGCGTATTACGGGCAGAGGTGTCGATGATGTGGTTTGCTGGTGAAGGAGGGGAAGTGGAGGTGTGCTTTTGTGTGGTGTATTTCTGGGGATTGTGGAGATGCGGAGAGGATAGAGTGCAGCCAACAATACAAAGAGCGTACCGGGAGGGAGGACCAGGAGACATCAGAGGGGAGTATAGGCTAGAATTGATGACGCGCACGGCATTGAGGTGGTCGGCATGAAACACAGGGGCAGCAGTTGCGTATCTTTGTAGATCGTTAGGTCAGACAACCGTGGAAGGCCCTCATGTTCAAGAATCGAGATTGCTGAGCAGGTGATGGAGCTGCGGAGAAGGTGTGAGGAGGCATAGTGTGTGAGAGGTGCCGCAGAGTCACAGTCACCAAGCATACAAGACCAGTGGTCAGTGATTGTGAGGCCAGCGCAGTTCAGTGTCTGGTGTACGATTATCCAGTGGGATGGCAAGATACGCTTACATTGTGCGAGGTTATGGTGCACGGAGGGGCCGTCGGGTGGGTAAATGCAGTGATTAATACTACTAATCCAGTCCGCCAGGGCCCAGGGTGATCGCCGCCATAGTGTGGAAAGTAGGGATGTGGTGGTTTAGATCGCGGAGCATTCCCTGGAGGGCGAGAGTATCATCAAGCGAAAGAGGTCAAGAGGTAATATGTGAAGAGCGTTGGTAGTATTGGTGGACCTGATGGGCGAGCAGGCGGTCAAGCTGCTCTAGATTTCGTTACGGGGTGAAATGCGAGAAGTAGTCTTATGCGGGACACGACACGCTGCGATACTAGTACTTATTCGGCGCAGGGCGGTTAGCAGCAGACGACATTAATGAAGTTGAGGAGGAGTGAATGCTAGAATGATGTCGCGAATTTTGGTGAATGAGTCAGCTGGTGGGTCGTTACAGCAGTTTACGAAAGTCATAAAATTTTCACGTGAGTGCGAGGAAAAAGGAAATTAGGAGAACAAATATCTAATGGTATGTTAGCTCTGTAGAATAACGCGAAAATACGAGACTCACATCTCAGGCTCTATGAGATGTTCTAACGACACGACGGGTTCTTTATAGTACGGATAGGAGTACTCACCCGTTGCGCTCGTACTGTTTCACTTCTACGGTCCGTCTTCCGTTTCTTTCGCTTCACCAGATTCCAACGGAAACACGACTCACTGCCACACACTAACATATAAAGAGGACCTACCATGCCGGTGAGTCATGCGGTTAAATCCAGGACGCAAACCACTCATACTCACACATTGATCTCCTGGATAGCAACCATTGCATTCGTCATTATCTATACAAAAGAGAGGACAATCGTCGCTGGCAGCGTTACTGGCAGATAATGATGCTAGTCAAAGCAGCAACAGTCGCGAGTGCGATGGAGAAACGCATTGCAATGTTTGTGAGGACGTGATATGGAAATAAACAAATCTAAAGGGTATAGTAGGAAGACGGCTTGCTCCATGTAAAGAACCTATCTACCTGAAATACTCTTTCGAACAGATCATGTCAGCAGACAAATTGTCATCTAATGTGAAGCAAGGTCTATTGGCAATTTGGTGTGGAACAAAATATCACCTTGCAAAGCGAGGTCAATGCCAGTAGCTGATTGCCACCTAAGATCTACCTTGTGAAGCGTGCCAGATCCATGGTATCATGACTGAACTTGTGGTCGCTGGCAGATGGTCAAGAACAACCCTTGACCAACGCTAAATTTATAGCCCAACGGAGTGGCACCAATGGTGGTCCTGTTGGATGGGAACCGTTTGCGTTCGACAAAGCCCTCCTCCACTAACGTGGCACTAGGAGTCGGGGGATCTGATTATGTATTGCCCTCACATTTCAGCGGAGTGAGCGCCCTAGAATTCAAACGTTCATTACATGCGAGTGAGCGCGAGGATGAAGATGAGAAACAAGACGCGTATAACACACGCGTCGCATCTTGGTGGGGTTCACTCGCTTAGTAAGCCCTTGTATGATCGCAAAGAACTCAAACACAATCAATCAGCTTCAAAGCTTCAAGGTTGTCAACGTTTGAACCGGTAAGCAGAAGCAAATTATTCTACAGTGCCTCAATCAATTCACTGATCAGTTACAAGTCGTCACTTCCACGCGCTCATTGCAGTCACTCCCATCATGGAAAGCTCACACTGACTCCCTGCTAGGCGTTCAAGAATACAACGTAAGTAGCTCGTCTGCAGTCCCTCTATAATAATAAGTACTCGATGTCTAGATGTGGGAGGGATTTCACATGTGGGCACGACCTGAGGAGAGACAAGGACTTGTAACTCTGTCAAATCTATCCACGCCAACGATGTATCACGCAATATATGTCAACGCCCTGAATTATTACTGCAGGCTCTCTCTCCTTTTCCCTGCAGGAGCGAGCAAACCTAGTAGACAGCTCTGGTGAGTGTATCTTCCGGTGTATGGTACAGCGTGATCTCAGTATGAACTGACCAGGCAGATATCTGCTCACGTCCATTGTGTCAAAGGCCCCACGCCATCATAGGTGTTCCACCAAACACCTCTGCAACAGCCTTCTCGGATGGCAGGTTGAGCAGCAAATCAGGAATCATCATGTCGATGCATATCTTTGATGCTGGTTCATTTGCACCTTTGTCCTCAACATCAGCAAGAGAGCTGCGGCTTAGAAACGACGAATGACGCATGGGAGCATCCCCTATTCTCAGGTACTTCGATGGTCTGTACAGTAATTCCGTGATGGGCAGCATGTTCTGGAGTGATACCTTTGTACGGGAGAAACTTTGGGGTCGCGAATCGTGCGATGATAAGAGTGTGACTTCAATCCGAGTCGCGCGGTCGTGATCGCGTCAGGTTTTGACGAGGAAGTAAGCGCCAGTGGTTTTCGTAAGTTGCTAAAATAAAATTCTGCATAGCTATATTAACATTAAATGCCGGTTGAAAGGTGCGTCTTCCTGAATGGCAGCGTAAAGCTGGTTCTTTCGGGCTATCTCACTGTCACGACAGGAGTATAGTGTCTCGTCGACTAACTTGCTATGCGGAAGAGTGGGGGATGGGACGGCAAGTGAGTTGACTAGATGATTATGCCACATATAATTAATTCGATGAATGCAGAATACTTACTATTATACGCAACGAAGACTTCAAGGATGCCAGGCTGTTATGTTTGCCTCTCCTCGATCCTTCTTTCGGCAATGCACCTCTTGGTCAGACAACCGTGGAAGGTCCAGTATCGGTGGACCTGATACATTGATGGGCGAGCAGGCGGTCAAGCTGCTCAAGTTAATAGGGACACGAAGGAAGTCGAGGACACGGACACGGATATTTTCCTCAGTGAGTGAGCCAGTCATAAGCCGCTTTCAAGCGGCTGGAGCGCATCTCAGATCTACGGTGAATATCATATTATTTATCGCTAAGCAAGCCCATAGAGAACTGGCTCTGTACAATCTACTAGCTTGCATGGGCTCTAACACCACATGACTTCTGAACCTCCAGGCTCCTCTCCAAAGAAAGTCGATATCATTCTACTGCCCGATCCCCTTCGAACTTCGCCTCCGCCGCCACCAAAGTTCGTATCCAACACCCAATGGTCGAGCATCCGATCGAGGCTTCACGTGTCGTGCCATAAACCATACTGCACCGATGTGAAAGCAGAAACACGACTCACTGCCACTAATCGCACCAAATGATGACCTACCACGCCGGTGAGTCGTGTGGTTAAATCCAGGACGAACTACTCGTACTCACGCATTTACGCAAGTATAAATCGGTAGGGCACTCTTGGCATTGACTATTATGTATGCAAAAGAAAGGACAATTTTCACTGGCAGGGTCACTGGCAGGTATTGATACTGCAGATATCGATACCGTCAAAGCAGTAACGACGGCGAGGACGAAGGAGCAATGCATTATTTGTGAGGATGTGACGTGGGATCAAAAAAATCTGAAGGGGACAGTAGGACGATGCCTTGCTTTTAGCTGAATATATTTTTCTGGCAGAACTTCACAGCGATTTAGGCAGAACCTGGCCACATAAAATATTAAATGATATCTGTAATGCCAGCAGATTGCCACCTAACATCTACCTTGTGAAGCAAGGTCTATTGCCAATTTAGCATAGAACAAAGTATCACCACGCGAAGCAAGGTCAAGACGTCAATGCCGGCAGATTGCAATTGCCTCCTAAGATCTACATCTGAGAGACGGCCTAATTTACGTTCACATTTGAAACTTTCTTAAGCCATCAGTGTGCGCTCTCGTTGGTGGAGCTTAGGCAATGCTAAGCGCTCGGCTACATACAGGCTCCGCTAGATGAGCATTGGATCGAGACTTCGCGCGTCGTGCCATCAACCACACTGCACCGATGTGAAAGCAGAAACACGACTCACTGCCACTAATCGCACCAAAAGACAACCTACCACGCCGGTGAGTCGTGTGGTTAAATCCAGGACGAACTACTCGTACTCACACATTTACGATAGTAGCTGTCGATAGGGCACTCTTGGCATTGACTACTATGTATGCAAAAGAGAGGACAATGTTCACTGTCAGGGTCACTGGCAGGTATTGATGTTGCAGATATCGATATCGTCAAAGCAGTAACGACGGCGAGGAAAAAGGGGCAATGCATTATTTGTGAGGATGTGATGTGGGATAAAACAAATCTTAAGGGGATAGTAGGACAATGCCTTGCTTATAGCTGAATATTTTTCTGGCAGAACTTCACAGCGATGTAGGAAGAACCTGGCCACGTAAAATTTTAAATGATATCTGTAATGCCAGCAGATTGCCACCTAACATCTACCTTGTGAAGCAAGGTCTATTGCCAATTTAGCATCAAAAATGTATCACCACGCGAAGCAAGGTCAATGCCAGCAGATTAATATTGCCACCTAAGATTTATCTTGTGAAGCGTGGCGTTTGAGCTCCCAGCGAGCTCGACCCACGACAATCAGCTGTAGTTCTCTTGAACATCACAAGGACACGAAATCATTCCTGGAAGTAATCCGTGAGTTCAGGGATAAAACTAGATGTTGGAACACTACTAATTAAACCGCCCCTATCATCGCACGACCCGCAATCTCAAAGTTTTTTCCTCTTTTTGTGTCCAATTTCTGTCGTTGAGAGAAAAATCTATGTAAGACAATACAATCTAGTCTAGGGACCATGTGTCCCGCTGCCTCTAGATCCATCAATGCCTCAACGATCCCAAAGTTTCTCCCCTGCAAAGGTATCAGTCAGAAACATGCTACCTACCATCATTGAATTATCGTACAGATCATCAGAGTACCCTGAGAATGGGGGATGCTGATATTCTTCAATGGTCGTTGCTAAGACAGGAACCATGTCTAGCGGTGTGTCGTCAGTATAGAGATATGTGCATGATACACAGACTTGAGCTCACCTTGGTGACCGCGACAAGGAGCGGCTTCAGAACACTGTCTGAGCCTTTCCACACATACAACCGTCCATATGTGTTGACTTTCGTAAGTTCCAGCTTTGAGCGACTATAACGTGAACTGGGAAAACGACAATGACGTGCAAAAGTACTTACAGTAAATGGAACGATTCTTTCAAACAATCGTGTAACGAGTACCATACATATGTCGAAGCCCGGAGTCCCAGATGACCCCATCCTTCTCGAGGACAATTTCATCTGCCCGGGGGCACAAATCTGCACTATGTGATCCCTCGAGTGTGCCGGTGAGGATACCGTTGAAGGCCCTCTGAGTATTGACGAAGTACGTTGAAGCAGAGATTGCCAGTGCAGCGAGCGCGATCTTGAATGTGATATCCTTGGCCTTGCAACATTATGCGAGAGAAAGACTACCGCCAACTCAACCATGGGCATTTTGGAAATCCATTATCAAACCATTATCACTGCTTGCCAGAGGGTCCTGTCATCGGTGAGTGCGTATGCTCGCATGGATTGTGTATGTGTGCCCATAAAATGTCGCCACGAGAATCACAAGGTAGGTCTTGGGTGGCAGTCTGTTGGCATTGCAGATATCATCTGTGCGAAAGAGGATTTCAGGTTGATAAATATCGCCATGAAGAACAATATTCAGTACCTAAAAGCAAGACGCCTTCCTATTGTCCCCTTCAGATTTATTTGATCCTTACAATGCATTCCTACTTTCTCCTCGCCATTGTTACTGCTTTGACAACATCAATATCTGCCAGTGACCCTGACAGTGAACATTGCCCTTTCTTTTGTTTGTATGATAAGCATTGCGCAGCCTGTGACATACCTGAATGCGTGAGTATGAGTAGTTTATGTACCGGATTTAACCACGTGGCTCACCGGTGTGGTAGTTCCCCCCGACATGCGGGTAACAGAGGTGGCGGTGAGTCGTATTTCTGCTGTCACATCGGTGCAGTATGGTTGATGGCACCACGCGTGAAGCCTCGATCGGATGCTCGACCATTGGGGGTAGGATAAGTACTTTGGTGGTAGCGGAGGCGAAGCTGGGGGGGATCAGGCAGTGGGATGATATTTACTTTACTTTCTTTGGAGAGGAGGCTAGAGGTTGAGAAGGAGTCCTGTGGTGTCAGATGCAAGTTAGCAGATTGTACAGAGCCAGTTCTTTATGGGCTTGCTTAGCGAATAATATTTGGGAAAGGACAGGATGCTCGTCGTAGATCTGGACGTGCTGTGGACGAGTTGCCGAGCGGCTGTACAATTTCATCAAGTGGCCTCGGTTCGACTTTGAAAGAGCGGGATCAAGAGGGAATGCTGGTGTACGAACCACCAGGTGGGTATTGGAACAAGAACGGACGAGCAGTGGGAGCAGGAGGATATGACTGCATACAAAGAGCAAAAAAACATACTAGTAAGAGAGGTGCGCGCACCATGCACGATGTCATGCATGATAAGTGATCATGCATGAATCCTCCTACCATGTATAGTACGCTATGTCATGCACATACACGACAAGCGGTATACGTAACGGTGGTGCTTCGCTTTTGCGCTGCACGCCATGCACGGTAGCGTGCATGTTCTATCTCACGAACTTCGGCGCAACTCATGTGCTTGTCTTCTCAAAGGCACCGTTACCAACGCTCAAATCGACGCCCTCGCGTCTGCTTGCTATCAACCACCGAGCACAGGCGCGCTCCTCCTCAACGATCATTTCATCGCCGTCGCAGAAGAGTCGTCGTCCCTCAAGCCCCCAGGAGGACGTGCATTGCCAAAAAAAAAAAAAAAAAAAGGATCGACGAGAGGCAAACATAACCGCCTGGCATCCTTGCTTGCGATGCACAAGGATTCCTTGAAGTCCTCGTTGCGTATAACAGCAAGCACTCTGGGTTCATCAAATCAACTATATGTGGCATAATCATCCGGTCAACTCACTTGCCGTCCCATCCCCTTATCGCACACACTCTTCATCCGTAGCAACTTAGTCGACGAGACGCCACATTTGTCGCATCAGTGGAGAGTTCATGTCGTGATACTGAGATAGCCCGAAAGAACCAGCTTTACGCTGCCGTTCAGGTTGAGGAGATAGGAAGAGCAAAGAATGTAGTGCAAAAGAACGTGTATAGTTGGAAAGGTCGTCAATGTGTTGACAGACTGGCCAAATTGCATTGAATTAGTGCCTAGTGATAAGCGATGAAATGTGTACATGAAATGCCGCATGTCACCGTGCTTCATCATATTGAAGGACCGCATCGACAAGATCCCCCGCGTTGGGATTTCTCGCGGCTATTGCGACTAACAACTTCAAAGTCTGTTGGAGAAAAAATTCCGTAGTGGGACCTATCGCAGCAACTTTGACTCTGTGACGATGTCCTGAAATTTTGCCACAATCCTCTATGATCGAATTGACCGTAGGCAGGACGAAGTGGTTCCGTAAGATTGGCGTCACGAATTCGGCTACTGAAGGGGCGAAGTAGATGATCCATCCCCAGGGTAAAACCTCCCCTGTTAGAAATATCAAAGGTGGTGCAAATCTAAGGCTGCAAAATACTTTCCTTTGATATGTTCCAAGGCAAGCGACAACTCTTGAGGAAAACATGGATGAACCTTGTGTGGCATAGACCTGGAGAGGGTCTAATGCAACACCTCCCGACTCCAGAATCCTCGGTAATGTGTCACGATTCCTATCTCCAGTGAGGTAGAGAAGCTTTCTGCCGGTCCCACCTGAGGAATGATCCTTGAGTATGATCCTGCAAGGCGTTCTGCAGTTCCGGTCTCTGAGCCGCCTCGGATATTTCTAGGTGAGTACAGAGGAGCCTTCTTACAAATATCACGAAGCGCGTCTGATGTAGCTTCTCCAACGGCGTAGAAGGGCACGGGCCACCAGTCTGTTGGTCGTGAGGCTCGATATAATGCGTTCAGTCAATAAATCGTACCAGATTCAGGCTTGGGAGGTGAGTTGTTATCAGCAATAATCAATGCTGCCTCGGACCATGCCTCGACGGCTCGTTTGCTCGTGATTATGACTCCAGAGAGGTTCTGCTTCTCTGGACCGAGGCTTAATATGCGTGCTAGCTCCTCGAGACGGTCTCTAGTACAGGAACTGATATTGGATGGTATCCGCGAGACCTGAAAGCATCTTCATACTGATCTGGGCTGTCTTGAGTAGCAGTTCTCAGAAGCAGGACATTCGACATTGGACTGTAGTAATACGGCCAGCACTCGAGCGTTAATCAAAGGTGGTTCTGCCGTCAGGTTTATGACACTGGTTACGTAAATGGTATCATCTAAGGTAACTTACATGGTTTCTGACTTTGAAACTTCTAGCCGCTTTGCTAGAGGTCTCCTTCCATCTTCTGCTGAGTTACTATCCCTTACGATCTATTCGTGATGGACCGTCATTTCGTGAGTCACGCTTTTTCGCGGTGAATTTCGTGACATACCGTTACACCATGTGACAAGCCATCACATTTCCATGCCCAAAAGTGTGACTCACGAAATGGAGGCTCGTCACGAATAGACCGTAACCGATAGTATTGAAGGGGGCCAAGTTTCACGTTCACTCGACTGAAGATGCGAAGGGGACTTTCAACAGGATACAAACCTGGTGTGACTTCCCATCTCCCAAGATAACCTTGGCGAACTGTGAATTCAAGTTCTGGTTCACCATGCCCGCGATGACATCTTCCCAGTGGCAGACCATATAGAAGGACGCGACCACGATCAAAATTGAGCTCGGGCTTCTTTCTGTATAGTCTGACTATTCAAAACTTACCAGCATATAGTAGTCTGGTAGCAGCCTGCCTCGCTCAGGGACGCAAAACTTATTTTATTTTTTCTTCCGCCTGATACTTACCAGGGCGTTTCTCTGCGTCATCCTTCCGTGAAGAATATCATACAATTGTCCGCTGGCATGCAATGCACTAATAGTACCACTTCTTCGCGCGTTTTGACTCCGCCCTCCTCACACTTCATGTTTATACACCTTGTAACCTCTGCTTCGTATTCTCCTTGTTCATCAGCTCCACACGGATGAACCTGTACTTGTTCAGTGAATAAAGAAGGAACGACTATCTTCCTTCTATTTGGTCTGACTACGGGAGAGTATATGTGAGTGAGGATGCAGCTTGTAAGTGCAAAACTGGAGGCGGCACTTCCTGTGAGCCGTGAGCCATGTTCTCTCAAAGAGGAGCTCCGGGACGGTTCAACGTTTTCCCCGACCTCTTTCCTTTGGTTCAACCTTGCGTTGTGAACTACATGGTGCGTCTACTTCGAGGAGGATTAGTGTGCGCAATCGCGATGGTGTTGACGGTCTGACACTCTAGGACACTGATGACGACAAAGCTTATGTTTCATCATTCGTCAAGCTCAAGTCATCGACAGCGTCTATTCCCCCTGACATTCGGCAACGAAATATGAAACTCTTTTCCGATAACATTATTTTCTACACTGGATTTCTGCCTTAATTTCCTTCTTACTCCGTTGGCGCGACACACCGGCTTGTACTGACAAATCCAAGTTACCAATCTTACTAATCCCTTCATACTCTATTTAACCGGAAGATATACGCCATTTCCCAAGAAAACAAACCGTTCGGCTCTATTTCCTCGAGTATACACTCTACTCCTGCTGTGAACATCGTTCCTCGTACCAAACGCCACAGAAACAAACGACCCCTATCTTACGGTAAACATGAGTCAATGGCCATCTCTTTTAGCAGGGTATGAAGCTGCAGAGCCCCTTCCTACTACCATCAATCCCGATGGAAAATCTCTGTACAACCCACCCGGTCCACGCTCGGCCGCCTACGACGAATTCCCGAAAGCATTTGATCCGTCTAAGAATGGTTTTGACTTCCACAGTGAGTGTGCCTATCACATGTCATTGGTCCATCGATCTCACCGGCGATGCAAGTTTATTACATGCCCTTCGTGCCTGCTCAGGCGCAGTATGCGAAAGAATTGCACGAACGTGTAAGGCGAGAGTTTCCAGAGGTATGTTTTTTTTTGGCATTGTCCAGTAGCCATTCATTTATTCCCCGTGACATAGCTGCGTATCTATAGGCTATGGGATAAACCGATCGGTGCGTATCTGCTTAAAATCTAGCTGCGTGGCGTGGTACTCATCCTTATTCATCCAAGGGCCCCACCCTACTGCGATGTTTGAGGTAAATACATTCAACCCCCACCAGACCGGAGCATTCTTTTCCTGGCTTGTAGTCCATCGGGGGCCTTGCGAGTACGTGTCATAAATAAAGTGTTCAGATCGGCTCGTTGACTGTGTTACGCATTTCAAAGCGTTCTCGTCCACCCGAATACTGGAGATTCATTCAGAGATCACACAGAATTAGCGACGTGGATCGGGAAGAGTTGGCCCTTGTATGACGATATACTCAAGCCTGCTCATCAAAGAGGTACCTAGATTCAGGGTGCCGTCCTGTGCGAAATATATATCCTCTGTATTATTCATAGTCAGTCGTACAGCAAAAAGTTCATGCATGACTAGACATATGTCGAAGCCGGCATGCTGTTCCGGAGCGTCTGGTAATAGATCCGAACCGGTTCGGGGCCGGAGCAAAATAAGATGGAACGACTTCGGGAGACCATATATACCGTACAGTCAGCTTGTGCTCGAACAACATCTTTATCTTTTATCACCACCACTACCACCACCATCATGGAATTCACTCCAAGACGTATACTGGATAATGCGCTCGATGCTGTGGGCAACACGCCCCTCATCCGACTCGACAAGATCGCCACAGAAGAAGGCCTCAAGTGCAATCTTCGTGCGTGCCCTTCTTTGAGTAGCCTTATACATCTGATATTTTTTGATAGTGGGTAAGTTGGAGTTCGTGTCTGCAGGCGGTTCCGTCAAGGACAGAATCGCGAAAGCCATGGTGCTTGCTGCAGAGAAGGAGGGTAAACTTATACCCGGCAAGAGCGTCGTCATCGAACCCACGTCAGGCAATACCGGTAAGTTCACACCGCCTCACCATCAATTCAACATCGTAATGACATATCTATGAAGGAATCGGGCTCGCAATGGCATGCGCTATCAAGGTAAAAACGCCATGCCCAGGTGCCTGGATGGTTGCTGAATACTACAGATAAGGGATACTCGGTCGTGATAACCATGCCTAAGAAAATGTCACTTGTGAGAATACTTAGCAGTTATCACGCGCGTGTTCAGGTTACTGAAAGTCAAGGGGCGCACTTATGATTTCAGGAGAAAGAGGCACTTCTACGTGCTCTTGGCGCACAGGTTGTCCGCACGCCGGACGAGGAGCCCTGGGACTCGCCCAGGAGCCATATAGGTAGAGCACCCTACTGGCGTGTTTAAACCCCTCGTGGCTGAATTCCTTAACGATCGTAGGAGTGGCCCAGAGACTTCAGCGAGAAATCGAACATGGGATTATATTGGACCAATATCGTAATGTAGGTTGTATTGAAGGTGCTAGAATTTCTGCTGATTGATGTGTACACTCAGGTGCACAACCCACTGGCTCATGAGTACACTACTGGACCAGAGATCATTGCCTCGGTCGTCTCAACCCCATCCACGTCCTCGAGACCTTCATCAATGAAAGTCGACGCATTCATTGGCGCCGCTGGAACTGGTGGCACCATCACAGGCGTCTCGCGTGCACTCAAGAAGACGCACAACTCAGACTGCATCGTAGTCGGTGTTGACCCAGTCAGTGAAACTTGAATATTGTGTTCAGCCGTTACTGACTTTTACTTGAGATTGGCAGCGTTCTGGCCGTCCCGAACGATCTGAACCTCTCTGGGGAAGGAAAACCATACGTCATCGAGGGTATAGGCTACGACTTTATTCCTGATGTTCTTTCTCGGGATGTTGCAGACGTGACCCATTGGGTGAAGACGTCTGACGAGGAGGCTTTCAAGGCTGTACAGTCTCTCATGAGGAAAGAGGGCTTACTCGTTGGTGGTAGCAGCGGAAGTGCCCTCAGCGGTGCTTTATCCTGGCTCAAGACGGAACAGGGGCGAAGAATCGCTGAGACTGAGGGCTTGAACGTTGTTGTTCTCCTTGCAGATGGGTGAGTCGTTACCAGTTGATTTGTTGTGCCCTGCTGACGTGTCTTACTTAGCATTCGGAATTATATGAGCAAGGAGTGGTTTTTGAAGAGTGCATTCAGTGTCGAGCATTCAGACCTGGCAACTCGGATTTCGGGCATCCTAGCTCAGGGGGAGATAGAACCTGTGCAGCAGTCTAGCCTCTAGCGCTGCCGCAGACACGTTCTCACACCAGAGTCTTCTTTATTTCTGGTATATGCCGGGGGAGGGTTACGGCAGATCGTTTTTCCAGCCACTTTACTACTCTATTCATTCACAATACGTTGTCCCCTTTGGATCAATCACGGTGCCCATCCCTTGCACCAATTTCTACCTTTCATGCAGTTGACTCGTGCATCAATAATGAACGTCACCAAGCTTAGGAAACGCCAGAAAAGCCTGTATCGAAGACGAAGACACGACAGGCTTTTAACGTTTAAGTACTAGTTCATTGAACGGATGCATGCCCCGTCCGATCGATCCACGGACCTGCCAATCGAGACCTTATTTCCGTAGTGTTGAATGAAGAGGAGATTCATGTCACGTCTGGGCAACGTGATCGATCGCTACTCTCCAGTACCTTCATTTTACATTACCCTGCGGTGGTGACTTGTACTCCTATTCATGGGAATGTAGTACACGGGACACGACAGGAATTCATGCGTGTTGTTCGCTACCCCTGACGGAAGACGACGCTATACACGTTGATATCAAGGACACGAAGGTAAATTTCATCTGAGGTTTCTAGGCCACGGCGACCGCTCTAGGAGGAACTTGAAATTTGGAAGCACATTCATCGAACAAAAGTTCTTTAGCCCCAATATCCAGCAACCATGGGATAGGAAGGGTGCTGGGTTGACAAGCGGCTGATGTATGATCCCTAGTGAAAAGGCTCGCAATATTGAAGGACACAGAGACCTACCTCCATAGTTCATCTGCCTCACCCTTTTTGCTGTCGTTCAAGCTAGCAGCTACGACCATAGCAGCAAGCATGTCGCCCGTTCCTTTCTCGCATTGGGCGCGCGATAGGATTGCTTCTGCTTCCTCTAGGTCGCTCTGTGCAGGAGAGAGTTCGCCACGTAAAATGCGAACTACTGCTCTGCCGACGAGAAGAGCGGCAGAGGAGATCGAGGGATTTGCTACTTGCTCGTTGTAGAAAGAGAGCGCGGGTGCGTATGGCTCGCCTGTTACATAAATGATGTTGAGCGTGATGCGATAAAGCTTATAGGTCGGTTAACGCACCGCTGGTGCCTTGTGAGCCGGTTACGAGGGAGATGGCTGATTCTGCGAGTTGCAGCACAAGTGCATCTGGGTTTGCTTTCAATGCTGGTGCAAGGACCTTTTGGGCGAGCGCTGGTCGAGCTAATGAAAGGTATATTTGAGATAACAGTGCGGCTCTATCGATTTAACTTGATCAGTCGAATGGCTTCACACAAAAGGGAAGGTGATGCTGACGGTTCATCACCGGCTTTGCCTTCGCTACCCAGCGTTTCGAGCGCTTCTTCTATTTCCCCTGCACGAACGAATGCGGTTCCCGCCAATACTTTGACCATCTCCTTCTCCCATTCTTCTGAGTCTTCATCACCCTCTATCTCTACACATAGATCCCGAAGTGCTTCTAAGCCTTCTTCACCCCTTGCCAGGGCGGCAGCGGCCTGGAGTGCAACATTCTCCGTGTCAGTAGGAACGAGCGCGAGCGCAGATGCAACGTCCCCTAGCGCAATGTGTGCACGGATTTTGTAGACAAGAGTAGGGGCGTAATCAGATGAAGAAGAGTCAGGGAGTGGTAATGATACGAGGGCGGGGTATGCGCCAAGGGTGAATTGTTGTTTGACGAAGTAAAGGTCTGGAGAACTCATTGTTGGTGGATAGAGGTGAGAACGACAGGCACAATCAAATTTGAAAGTCGGGATTAAGGTCTTCGATCGATCTTGGCTTGAACTTGTGACGGTGAATTACAACTATGTAGATCCTAAACTAGCTGGTCGTCGTGGAAGTTGTTCAATGGAAACGGCCAATTGGATACATATTTGGTCAAAGTCAACTCACGTGGTCACAGTCGCGCGTCACGTCGCGCTCAAGGAAGTAGGCCTGCGCCGTTGGGATGTATCTTTTTCTCTCACGCATGGCAAAAATACGCACTTCTTCGTATGCTTCTGTACCGTTATGAACGCGAACACAAGATCACGCGCGACGGGGGAGCACAATACAAATTGACTCTCTGGTGCGAACAAGCACTATCAGGTGATCGGGGTCTCGGTGCTATTTGGGGGAAATGAAAACCTTCCGCGACGTCTTAAGCGAAAAAAAGATGGGCAGCATCGTTCAAGACAGCGAACAAGAACCTTCGCTCGTTGAGCGGCACATCTCCTGTTGTATCCTAATCTGCCTCATGTCGCGTCAAAATCAGCAGGGAGAAGTTGATGCCGTTACGAGGTCGTCTCAATATTATCAAATCCTGACAAGAAGCGACACAAAAATGGTATCGGTGCCGTCACACCCGCTATTCGGTTCATACTCGACACCCGGTGCCCTAGGCCTACTCGGTACCAGTCCGCCTATAAGTATCCCGCATGTCGCTTCATCTCCCAAGGTTCAGCTCTTCCTTCAACCTCTTCTTGTTGTCTCGAAATATCTGCCATGACCACTCTCAACAGATCCTTCTCGTCGCGCTTTTCAACCAAGAACCAGGCAGTAAGTAGTCCAACTATACCCAATAGCGCTTACATCCAACTACTCATAGAATGGTTCAATACCTACCGAGGGCGCTCCTTCTTCGAGCGACTCTGGCACCATGAAAGCCTTGGCGCACATCAAGGACCTCGTAAGATTACAGTTGTACTAACTTGTTGTCAACAACTTAACTGACTTGTTTAGATGAAACGTCCTGTGGAAGAAATCAATGAGTCGGCAGTTGTTAGTTTTACCTTCATTACCTTCTGTGGACAGTACTTGACCGTACCTACATCTAGTCCGGTGCCCTTGACGCCATCTCCCATGCAGGTGCAATTGATGACCGCAAGATGATGGTCAGTTCACCGTTGTCTGCCAGCACTGAGTTTTGTAACTCATCGTTGTTTGTCTCATCTAGCTCGAGCACTTGCTGTCCTTCATGTCCGATCACCCTTCGGGCAAGATTTCCAGCTTGGCTCGGACTTTCACCATTAAGACTCGTGAGTATTTCATGTCACTTGGCAGCTTGGTCATCACCACTAATTGTGTCGTAGTGTATAACGACCTCACCCACCCGCCTGCTACCTTCATTGGGCCGGAGTATCAGTTCCGCGCTGCTGATGGTTCAAACAACAACCCTGATGCTCCCGACCTCGGCAAAGCTGGTACACCTTATGCACGGTCTGTCCAGCAGTCAAACCCCTTACCGCGCAACCAAATGCCCGACGCCGGTCTCGTCTTTGACACCCTCCTCCGCAGAGACAAGGTACGTATGTGCGACAACATTTGCTTCAATCTCTTACGCAACATAATTTATAGTTTACCGAGCATCCCCAGGGCCTGTCCTCCCTCATGTTCTCCTTTGCAGCACTCGTCATCCACAGTGTATTCCGTACAGACCACACGCCCGGCAAGACGCATATCAACATGACTTCAGGCTATGTCGACCTTGCCCCGTTATATGGAAATAACCAAGAGATGCAGGACAAGGTTAGTGCTTTCTACATCGATGTTAAACTACAAGCGTCTTATACCATTAATATAGGTTAGACTCAAGGAGGGACGCGGGTTACTTTGCCCCGATGTATTCGCTGAGGACCGTCTCCTTTTACTCCCTCCTGCGGTGTGCGTGCTCTTGGTGTTGTTCAACAGGAACCACAACGTATGTTCCCCAATCTTAAGTTACTGTTTCCACGATTATTAATTCGGCCTGTTCGATCACAGTACATCGCCCGTCGGTTGCTCGAGATCAATGAACGAGGTACCTGGAAGGATCCTGCCCACCACGAGTTCACCCACGCTCAGCTATTGAAGCAAGATGAGGACATCTTCCAGACCGCCCGTCTGTGCAACTGTGCATGGTTCGCAGCTGTGGTTTTCTCCGACTATTTCTCTGCTATTCTGGGCCTCGTGCGCAAAGGCTCGAACTGGAGTTTGGAGCCATTCGATGAAATTCGTAACGATGACAACCAGATCTTTGAACGTGGCCGTGGCAATGCTTGCAGTGTGGAATTCAACTGTTTGTACAGATGGCACGCGACCACCTCAGCCGAGGATGAAGCGTGGATCACTGCTCAGTTCCAGAAGATATTCCCTGACAAAACTCCTGAGGATCTTACGTTGAGGGACTTCTATTCAACTGAAGCGAAGCTCGAGAAGAGCGAACCGGATGTTCAGCACTGGACATTCGATAGGTGAGTAATCCCGAGATCCAGAGTTTGTGTAATTGCTCAAGTTCTCTTGCAGCATCCAGCGTGAGACCGAAGGTCCCAAGGCGGGTTCATTCAAGGACTCTGATCTTGCAAATTACCTTATGAATGCGTTCGTGATCATATATCATCTTGTCTTGTGTTAAAATTGACCCATTCTTTCAGGACATCCCATCGCGCTGCTGCTTTCGGTGCTCGTAGCACACCCTCAATCATGCGTCTCCATGAGATCATGGGTATCGAGGCCAACCGATCATGGGGCGTTTGCTCGCTCAACGACTTCAGGAAGTTCCTTGGCTTGAAGAGTAAGTCCATGGCCCCAACACATCTCTTGGATACTCAAGTATTGTGCAGCGTACACCAGTTTCTTAGAATGGAACCCCAACCCCGAAGTTGCTGAAGCTGCTGAAAAGCTTTACGGTGACATCGACAACCTCGAGTTGTACGTCGGTCTCCAGGCCGAGGAAACCAAGCCTCTCATCGAGGGTGCAGGACTCTGCCCAGGTATTGCTCTTTCGATCAGACAATGATTGTGAAGACTTACATATATGTCAGGTTACACCATCTCTCGTGCCATCCTGTCGGATGCCTTCGCCCTGACTCGTGGTGACCGCTTCTACACGCAGGACTTCACGCCTTACAATTTGACCGCCTGGGGTTTCGCCGATTGCCAGCGAGACCCTGACGCCTACGGTTTCGGTTCTACTCTTGGTCGTCTCTTCCTCCGCACGCTTCCCAATGATTACTCAAAAGACAGCATCTACACATGGTTCCCTCTCGTACACCCAGAGCCTATGGAGGGTTACCTGAAGAAGCTTGGCAAGCTCGATGGATACTCTCTGGCTCGGCCGAAGCCTCAGGAGCCTGCTACTACTGTCGAGAATTACGTCGAGGTCGGTGAGGTGCTTCGCGGCACTGACAAATTCGTACCCGAGTACGTCGAGCACGCAGCAGAGGTCATCACGGGTAAAGGGTATGATATATATACACCCTGCCACTTCGCTTGGTGCTAATACGATTGATAGCTTCTTTACCGCATCTGAAAACGGCGTTGAGGAGCAGAAGCAATTCATCAGTGCGCTTGCTCCAACTCCAGAAGATGTCTCCGCGATCGGCACGTACTTCTTCAACAAGACCAAGGAACTTATCGACCAGCATTCGTTCGCCCTGATCGGCAAGAAGACTCGTGCTATTAACATTGTCCGGGATGTGTTGAAGTTCGTGCCCCTGCATTGGGCTGCTACTGAAATTGTACGTCAACATTGGACGGACGATCCAGGATATTGACTCATGATGATCGCAGGCTGGCATTCCCCTCAAGACCAAGCAAACACCTCATGGCGTTTTCACTGCGGCTCAGTTGTTTGACATGCTTGCTGAGATTTACGAGTCAGTCTTAATGTACCTTTTCCCTGCAATCATGACTAACGTTCTGCCCAGATTCATCTTCCTCGAGGTTGAGGCAGCAAAATACATGCCAATGAAGCAGAGGGCCAAGGACCATGTGGAAGAGCTGACGCATCTTATCAAGGGTGCTCTTGGTAGTGCTGGGAGCAAACTTCCTTTCGCTGGACTGATTGGCACGATGACTGGTCTCTTCGGTGGCAAGGGAAAGAAGAACCACAGTGAGATTGTCAAGCGCCTGTTTGCGTTTGGTTATTCCAACGACCAGGTCGTGAACTCCATTCTTGCATTGTTGGTCGGCTCCACTGTCGAGATGTCTCTCGGTACGTCCTTCTTGTTCCTGGTGGAACATAGTCTCAAATTCGACTGTCATAGCTTTGACGAACGTTGTCTACCAGCTCGTTCGTACGGAGGACGATCGGAGCCAAACTATTCAAGCGCATCACAGTGGGGATATCAAAGACCTGGCTCATTTGACTGCCTATATTGTTGAGGCACTCAGTACGTGTTCTGTTCTCGCTGATACACTTCTTCTCTGACGTCCGACCAGGGATCGACCCACCTTTCAAGGGTGTCTACCGTGTCGCGAAGCAGAGTCACTCTGTAGTTGCTTTGAATGTCAAGCAAGGCCAACGTCTGTTCCTGGACGTTGCCGCTGCAAACATGAATGTGAGTCACAATCATGCAATGTCATTTACGTCTCTCATGTATGTAAACTCAGGAGGACGCATTCCCCAACCCGACGTTCTTGGATACCACTCGTACTCGTGGGCGCTATCTCCAGGATGACGGGTGCCTCAAAGTCCTTGGAAGTGACCTTGCTTTGACGATGATCGCTGAAGTCCTTCGTGCCGTCCTTACCTATGACAACGTTCGTCGCGGTCCGGGCCAGTCAGGCAGACTTGCTCGTTTCCACGATCCAGCAATCCCTTCGCTGCGCTATGCATACCTCAACGAGAAGATGGCGCACAGCCCGTGGCCCACGTCGTTGGTCTTCAATTACGATGTTTCTGCTTGAACTTTTGTACTGATTTGTTTTGGATGAACGTTGATGATATGATCTACTCAATGTCGCTGAGCGTATCTACGTGATCTTTGTTGTTATCTTGTACCGTGTTATCTTACGTAGTTTTTGCGCCGTTGGTTGATGGTTCTAATGAAAATTCTTGATTCACTCCGTTCGTCCTTGTCGGACCTTGGTGATCGGATGCTAAGCTGTGGGAAGTTGATGAGTCGTTGTAGTTCATGTGTCCGGAAGTTGACCAGGTATCACTTGACCATCCGATTGTGAGTCACTATATATATCGTTGGCTTCACAAATCTGAGTCTATATGTCATCCTTACCCGTATAAAGTACAGCTGAGTCTCGTTTGCAAGACGATCGATAATCCTGTTACCTGACAATTGCATCGCATGCGTCAGCTTTCGTGGCACAGCATAAATCGCTGCCGGCCGGTGACGCATCTCCCTGACACCACGCGATCACACGCTGTGTAGACGCTCCCTAGGCAGCATGGCATGAGGTCCACATATTTATAAGTCATAACTTCCCTGTCCTATTACTTTACTCTCCAGCGTTAACCATCCCATCGTCTTGCTGCTGTCTTACTGTATTTCTCTTGTGATCGCCCCACCCGAATCACCTAACCACTACCAGCCGCTCCACCTACCCGGTCATGCCAGACGTTCACCTACTTGTCCTGATCCATGGAATGTGGGGAAATCCCTCCCATCTTGCTCACGCGAGTAAAATCATTCACGAGGTGAAGGGCGAAATTGAAGACAGCGACGTCAAGCTTGAAGTTCTTGTCGCGGAAACTAATAAGGATGAATCCACATATGACGGAATCGACTGGGGAGGTGAAAGAGTTGCCGAAGAGGTAATTATCCTTATTACTGTCAGCAATTCCGAGTGTTCTCAGCGTCTATAAATCAGATTCTACAGAAAACTACGGACCTAGAGAGGGAAGGCCACAAAGTGACTCGTTTCTCGGTCACTGGTTATAGTCTTGGTGGACTTGTTGCCCGCTATGTCATTGGGTGAGTGTGTGAGTCTCCGCTCTTGTGGATGATCTAATGAGCAACCCCAGTATCCTTCACCAATCCAAGTTTTTCGAGACGGTGCAACCTGTGAATTTTAATACTATGGCTACCCCACATATCGGCATACCTAGATTCCCTTCAACATTCTCCGCGATATCCACATTTTTGGGACCGAAGCTTCTTTCTCGTTCGGGCGAGCAGTTCTTCTGCGTTGACAAATGGTCACCACGAGGAAGGCCACTTGTAGAGGTCCTTGCTGATCCTGATCGCATTTTTATCAAGCATTGCTATTATTTCCTAATATTATAATTTATGCCAACGCGTAAGCATACAGTGTCTTGCGTCTCTCTACCATCCTGAATGTTCCCCCAGCATCCATGACACGACTGTACCATATGTCACTTCTGGCATCAGTGCAGAAGATCCCTTCGGCGAGTATCAGAAGAACGGCATTAAAATGTAAGTGTCTGCTTCGGGTTGCACAAGTTGATTCTGACCATATCTCAGCGATTTCCACGAGAAGTACAAGCATGTCATCAAATCTTACTCAGTGGCTCCTTCATCATCTGCCATGACCGAGGAAGAGCCGCGAAGCTGGGCTGGGACTATCCGGAGCATGCGCCCACAATTACCTCCACGATTCCAAGCCGAGTTTCCCTTGAACGTGGTATGCAAAATATTCTCGAGCTCAGCCACATCATCTCATAGCACAATGTAGGCCGTTTACGCCCTCCTACCAATTCTCGTCCCGACATTTATCTGCCTTGCTTTCATCCGCCTATCATTTCAATCGCACAAGTCTCGTAGTCGACTAAGGGACCTTGAAGCGCATTCAACCAGAGATAGACTTATTCACATTATCGGGAAACTGGAGAGTGAACTCGAAAGCGCCGTAGTTGATCTTTATGATGCCCCCGCTGGCACTCCCATCCCTACATCGCCGATACCTGGTGCTAGCCCTGGTGATACCACCAGTTCCATTGCACCCACAAAGGAAAAAGACAAGAAATCTCGCTCAAAGCCGCCTCCATACCAGCCTTTGTTGACACCCGGTCAACTTCAGTGCATCGAGAATCTCAACAAGATACCGCAACTGAAGAAAGAGCGAGCTTTCTTTGAGGGTGTACGCAATTCTCATGCAATCATAGTTTGTCGTGATCCCAAGATGTTCAAGCACCATTTAGAAGGGGAGGGTGTATTACGACACTGGGCAGATCACTTCAAGCTGTAGCTTTTATTGTATTCTCGTTGTGTTGTTTACTTGTAGTTAGAGAGGACTCGGACACTTACAGAAACAATACCAACGATCGACGCGTCGCGATGGTGCGTCACAGCCGCATGCTGTCATGCGGACTCGGAAGCTTTCAATTTTGTAATTGATCATTAATCATTCTTTGTTTCTTGACTTCGAAGCTCTGCTACAATAAGCAGAAACAACAATCGTATGAAGGATCTTTCATGTATGAGTTACCATCTCTTCAGCCTTTGTTTGCATAGGCCGATAATCTACGCGACTCGCCTTTAACATGTCGGCAATCCGATATTTAATAGGTCGTTGGCTGTGGCTCGCCTGGAATCTTTCAAACCCCCTTGTTTTGCAAGATGCCTGCCATCCGACGTGGGAGCACGTATCTTGACGTATCCACGACTCCTCACACGCCTGAAGGTAGGCTTAAGCTCAACCGCCTCCCCGCTGGTCGCGCACTCCCGTACAAGAACGGTAAGTTGCTTTTATACTTTCAGTCCATTGACACCCCGTGAATGTCTACCATACAGCTGTCTGTACGGCGCTGCTATTCATTTGCGATGAAAATCGTGATCTTAATCCCACGGAGACCTTGAATGTATCATTTGAGGATTTCCAGACTATAAGTTTGTTCATTCATTTTTGTTCCTTTGTTCGCCTGGATCTAATTGTGATCAGTGAAAAGCCGGGCGAGGGCTGCTGATATGAAGTTAGGCTCTTACACGCATGCTCGGTTGCGTCTGGTCCTTTCGGGACTTGTAAGGTATCTCCCGGTGGTGTGAGAGTTCTTCACTAACGACGCACGTCCTTCGATCAGATGGGATATGGGCACATTGAGTTGACCTCTGCTTACATTGGCCGCCAGCGCCACGTGGTTCAAGGTATCATTATTCGACCGAGCTTCCGTAACCTGCAAGTGCCTACATATAATCAATCGCAGATATTCACTCATACGGCATTCCGCTCTGTAGCTACCAGGGGTTTCACGAAGCACTATACGGATGCGGAACATTGCCAGAGCACCGCAAGTACCGTGCATATATGTCACTTGCAACCAAGGTATTTGGTCCTAATCGAATGCCAACTGTGCTAGAGGTAGGCGAGCGTGGCATCTTCTATACTTGTCACTAACGGCCATTACGAGAGGTGGCTAAATGTGCCATCGAGTTCTCGAAACAGAATGACGCATTATTGGCAAGATCCTCCTTGCATGGAGAAAGAGACGAGACCTCTACCGCTAACAATCAGGTTGATGTTGTCATGAACAACGACATTATCCAAGACAATGGTTCGATGGACTCCTACCAGGTTGTTCCTGTTACGCCGTGAGCGCAACTCGTAAAGATTCACGTGCTCTCATACTTATATTTGTCTACAGCACTCGTGCGCTGAGCCATAACCATAGTAATCGAGAAATCGGGCTTCCAACCCCTGAGTCATTACCAGCTGAGACGACATGCGGTTGTGTTACCAGCTACTTCCTCAGCATCGTCCTCCGAAGTCATCTCTTATGGTAATGATGATCAAAGTCATTCTGATAGGCAGAACCCTCAGATGCCCGATTCGCGTTCCAGCTACTTCGGGGAAGCCATTTGCTTCGTTTCAGGTTTGCTCCAAGGCTTTCGATGGTCGTGTGACCTCTTTATACAAGAGGTAGGTGGTTTCATTTCAGTTCTTAAATGCAATGGTTAATTCTGATAAATGGTGCAGGTCTCTTCGCTTGCATACCAGAGTCATAGATCTGCAAACGTCCTTGACTGCTGCAGAGCGGGCTCTTCGTGAGGCGAACCTAGTCACGTCGGGCTCGCAACAGCGATGCTTGGACCTCCTTGAAGATCTGCAGAAAGCTCGCATCAATATCGTAGATCTCGAGACGCGTGCCAAAGGGGATGCAGTCGAAAAGGATAACTTGCAACAAGAGGTCGCTGATCTCAAGGCAGAGGTATCACGCCTACAAAGTGGTATTGAAATGATAAAGCAGATTGCAGGCGGGGTAGGTTTATCCATTGTTCTCCATTTGGATTATACACTTATTTGCTTTCATACTCAGCTGATCCCGCTGTAGTCGCTTGATCTCGGTCACAAGTTTTCTACTATGTTTGACTGGACGAGGAATCTATGCAAAATATTCATGAATTTCGTGATGTACTACTAGCGCTACCATACTATGTTGCTGACCGGTCCCAAAAGCACGTAACTCACAGTTGGCGACGACGAACGTGCGTCACGTTATGAACCTTCGTCGCTAAGCGCTAGCAAGCTACAGGCTCGTGCATATGAAGCTGATAAACGTGCCGAACGACGAGAATAATACGAAGTAGAGGCGAGGCGTTAAAGCGGGCAAGTATATGATATTTGCCATGGAAGGATGGCACAGAGAAACGCACGAGGCCGCGGACTGCTATATGCCGGTAAGTCATATAGAAGAGAATTCTACTTGTTGTGAATTTTCGTTTATATGATCTGCCATTCTGTCATTGCGGGCATTACGAACCAGAGCTTGGATCCATAGTTCGCCAAGGCTATCTTGGGATATGGCAAGTTGCACGCCGAAAGTCTCCTTCCGAATCTTCCGTTTAGTGAACTGTCCTCACATAACTGAGATGGAAGGAGACTACATCTAGCTAGTTTCAACGGAAACCGGGTACTTATTATGTATCGACTGATTACGTAAATGTGATTACACTATGGCTCTGCCAGCACCTTCACCTACTCATCTGCTACGTTCACATTCGATCGCAGTAAGCACCCTGTTCATATCGACGGACAACGAGCGAATCTACTCCGGAGATGCCGCAGGACAAGTTGTGATCACTTCCACGCGCTCATTGCGACCACTCGCATCATGGAAAGCTCATACTGACTCCCTGTTAGGCGTTCAAGAATGGGGGTCTCAAATCTTAACGTGAGTAGCCGGTCGGCTATCCTTCTTCTCCTGGCATTTTATGATATTCGGCGATTAGACATGGGAGGGACAATAAACTTCACGTCTGGGCAAGACCTGAGGAATCCGCTTCCATCAGACAAGGACCTGCAACTGATCTGTCGGATCTATCAATCCCAACGATATGTTACTCGATGGACGTCAACGCCCTGAACTACTGCAGGTTTTCTCTCATGTTCCCTACAGGATCAAGCGAGCAGGAAGGTCTGCTCGCCATTCCGAACCTAGTGGAATCAGCTCTGGTGATTATCCCTTCCGATGTATGGTACGGCGTGATCTCAGTATATGAACTGGCCAGGCAGATATCTGGTCACTTCCGTCGCGTCAAAGACTCCATGCCGCCATAGGTGATCCACTAGACACCTCCGCAACAGCCTTCTCCGATGGCAGGTCGGGCAGCAAATCGGGAATCATCATGTCAATGCATCTCTTTTACGCTGCTTCGTCTGCACCTTCGTCCTCTACATCAGCAAGAGAGCTGCGACTCTTATGCGCGTACGAAAATGGAGGCGTTGTTCTCCGGAAGCGCACTGCACCCGAAAATAAACAGACCGTCGAGGGCCGCGGATGGGAGGTATTGTGGAAATCCAAACTTCATGTAGAATCAGGTTGGTTGAAATATGTAAATGTATTAGAGGGAAATCTGATGGAAGTTATTGTTCCAAGTGATGGCGATGGCGGTCTCTTTAGACTGCACTTTTGCTTTAACCATATCGGCTGACCATCTGGTGGGACGGTATGATCTTTTGGTCGGTGTTTGGGTATGCAATGAGTTTACTTGCTAACACCCTGAACAGAAGACCCAGGAAGAAGCAGGAACTGCATTCAAGACCAAACATCCAGGAAATGGCTCTATCGCCATATGCGGCGACGGAAGAGTGTGTGCGATAGGAGGATGGGACGGCAAGTGAGTCAACCATGTGATTATGTGACATATTATGTTAACTTATGCACGCAGAATGCGGTTATACTCAACGAAGACGTTTAAGCAGCTGGGAACCCTTGTGCATCACAAGCAAGCATGCCAAGCGGTTACGTTTGCCTCCGTTATCGATCCCCCTTTTGGTAACACACCTCTTCGTGGAGACTTGAGGGATGATTCTTCCGGTGACGAGGACGAAATGACTGTTGAGGAAAAGCGTGTCCGTGCTCGGTGGTTGATTGCAGGCAGTAAGGACGCGAAGGTGTCAATTTGGGCCTTGATGGACTTTGAGAAGACAAGTACATGAGTTGCGCCAAAATTCACGACAAACCGAGAATGTGTCGAGAACTATTGGATGTTACGACGCGTTTGGTCTAGAGAGATGAAGGGGGCGGGGGGTAGGACGCTCAGATGTTGAAGCAGGCAAGTCTGTAACAGCTGGCTTGTAAATATTAGTAATCGCGAACGAACGTATCACGTCCTGGTGGAGGGATCGGTGAGTTGTCGCCCATGTTCCTTGACTTGCTGCTGAGTAAACTAATAAAAATAGATGCATACTTGCGGACCCCTTGGATAGATTTATCTTCTAAACACCGCCGAACACTTGGCAACCTTTTTCACCACCTGGGACCGTTGAATGGTCATCTTACTGAGCATCAAGGTTCTCGCGCCAGACATTCGGACCATCCACGCATGTCCAACACTGCGCCCTCCAGATCCGGGTTCGCTCTCATTATCACCTACCTTGTCGTCGGTCTTGTATATTGCATCGTTTGGAAATCCCCTTGGATCTTGATGGACCTCGAGTACGTTAAATTGAAATCCCAATGCGTGAGCTGTGAAGTATTAACCCGCTCTCTTGGGTCCCGTGGTCCGAATCGCTTTGCGTCTTTCGCCACAGCAAAAATCCACACGCCCACCGCGGGAGCTACGAGGAGCTACGTTGTGACATCTCGGCGAATTGGGAACACATCCAGTCCATCCAATCACGCGGATTTTACCTTGGTACATTCTTTAACCGCACTTGGTTGTCCAGTCCATACATTTTCAGTGATGGCAACAGCTCGGTGAATTGGATGCACACACACAGTCTATTCAGCCACGCGGATTTTACCTTGGTACATTCTTTAACCGTACTTGGCTATCCAGTCCACACATCAGGGATGGCGAGAGCGGCGGCTGTCGGGTATTGCTGTAATGTCACGCTAACATTGATCTGAGATCAAGGATGTTGCTTCTCGCGGAGCGCCCCTAAGAGAACGTAGCTCGCGTCTCACAGGAAGCTCCCCCCCTCTTCTGTTTGCGCTTGCAAACTACACCCCCGTTTACATCGTCACATGGCTATACACGCAGAATCATGCAGCATCTGTGCTTTGCTGTAGCTCCTAGACTTCTACGTCCATTCCAATGGATACAAATATTAATGATTAAGACATAGCATACTGTTAAAATCTATACAGTCTAGAGCACAGTAAATATTGTAGTGATAAGTAATGTAATGTCTACCGACGGAAAAAATGAATGCGTGCGAGTCAACAGTCCGATTTTGTCATATGTGCGCCTGCGCATAATTGTGACAACACAAATGCTTCCCCTCGGAACCACCAGACCAACATCACGCTGCGATGTGGCAAAGATGAAATCCTTGGGAAGGAAGGATGCAGCGTTGATGCCTGCGAGTAGCACCGGTGACGCGTGAATGCTTCACCTCGGAACTACTCAAACCAACATCATACTGCGACGGCGAGAGGTGACAAGGATGAAATCCTTGGGAAGAAACGATGCGCGTTGATGCCTGCGGGTGGCCCTAGTGACGCGCTTCCATGCACGAACGACCTGACGTTCGATATATTTAGTGCACGAGATGCATGTCTTTCTCCTATGTACCATCGAGGCAACCAGTATCAAAAAAAATGTTTCGAATGTTATAGACCGTCCTTACATTGGCTTGGATTCAACAATCCAAGGCTCGGAAGTGAGAAATGCGTGTTGGGGAACCGCGGTAGACATGTTGGGTGCCGCGACGAGTGTGAATTGTCAGGCGTGTAGGTGAAAGGAGCAATATTAATGAGCAGGCGAGCAAATGAATGTAGATCACAAGTGGTTGTCGCAGACGTTGTTGTACAGTTCAATCGGCTGCCGCTAAAGCCTGGGTATTCTTACACTGGTTGGGCAGCGAAATGCAAGGTGGGTTCGTCGGGGCACTCATAGGAAGGAAGGTTTTATACGGTTACCTAGATCCACAGCGTTCGGGGAATTTGCGCGGAAACAAAAGATGTACATTGTCCTAGCACCCAAGATGATTGTAATTGCGCGCTGGCACAACGCTGGCACCACCAAATGTTTGGTAGGAACAAAAGGATCGAAACAAGCATTGGGTTACGACGAACAACACCTTCCTTATTTGGATGAAGCTCATTGTTTGGGTGTGCGCTGTTTGTCTACCACGGTCCACTCAGTATACTGCGTCACAGCAGGGACCAAGCAGGACCACGCATGTCATCTCCACGCTCAGGTACGTTATGTTCGTTCATTGCACGATCGAACGTCAATCCAAATTAAATGATTTCTAAGGCTAATAGCCCATCTCCTGTTCCTTTTACTCAGCGGATTTCAAATTCATGGGCGCAGAACCGCAGCTGGTTTGCGGACATGTTTACTGCCAGTGTACGGCACTCTTTAGGTTCACCGAGGAAGTGTGTCTTCTCCTATGTTCTAAATGTGATGTGACCCGGTTTTAAAACCTTCGCTCGAACTGGTTTATTGGGGCTGGGCCCTGTGGAGTCATCATCTGTTTCACATCACACTTGCGATAGGCTCGATAGCGATGCTACACGTTTTTCCTTCTTCTGGTCAGTTCAAGAGTGGAGCTGTTCGTATCTTCAGTCGCAGATTCTCCGTCACGGAATGCACAGAAGGTAGCTGATGGATATTCGACTCGTTGACACATCACCGGAGTTCTCCACCAGATACCCCCAAATACAGCTTTTGGCTGTCTTTGACCATCGTCTTCAACTGCTAAGGATAGCACACATTTACTTATCTGTGTTCACGTTCCAGGGCCGATCGTTTTTGATGGTATGACGCGCGGCCATGCTTTCAAGTTGACCGCAACCGCTCTCCGGGATGCTTTCATGGCCGCCTAGCCCCTGAAGTTTAAGAATGACGAGTCGGATCAAACACTGCTTGCAGCCAACTTACTCCTGGAATTAGCTTTATGTGAAATCAAACTTAGTGCGGGAGATTTTTTTATTTGCAAAGCAATTCGGACATTGGATGGGACTAAGGTTGTTGGAGCCTACGTTCGCATGCTCCATGATGTCAAAGGTAAGCTACGACATAGGCGACGGCTCGTCGGGCCTATTGTAGGTTATCGTATAGGTACCCGATTGATCACCTTTAGTATGTAGTAGAAGAACCCCTCAGATCGCTTCATGTAGTGTAATTTGAAAATGACCAATTCAACTTCTGATTATCTCAGTGTATCTCAGGTCAAGCTAGTTATCTTAGAAGGATGGCCTTTGTGAACTCAAGATGCCGTCGCTGGTTCGGAAATCACATTACATCCAGCAGGACGTACGCAGTATGTAACGCTATTTGGCGCTGCCTTGTTGTTTCCGCGCGGCGGCAATTAATTGACGCTTAGTTCGACGGCCGTGAGTGCTGTTTAACGGGAGGCAGTACTAAGTTCAGGTTGCGGTTGGACCACGGCATTCGACTCCCCTTTTATATCAACTGTTCGCAATCGCAATAGTCCTCCAAAGAATTACCTCCTGCACTCAGTGTACTTCAAGCCCACTGTCCGGCGTTCCTCTCACTTGTCTTTTATCGAGGACTAGGCTCGTTCGCAGAACGCTCTCCTGATAACGATACCAGGACTGTAATAATCATGCCATCAGATGCTCAATCTGCGGCCTACAAGAAGGTTGCTGGGTCCGCACCTTCGAAGGACTCATTTTTGAAGACGCCACATGCCGCTGACCGGCAGGTTGCACCACGCGGCGTTCATTCCTATACTTCTTCCAAAGACAACGTAGGCAGTGCCAGTCGTTCTATCTCTGCATCCTCCACCGCATCCCCGGGACTCGACAAGCGTGAAGCATCTGCGGGCACGTCCACACTCCTTCCACAAAATACTTCCAGGCAGAGTAGTCTCCGGCATCACTCTAAATCCAAAGATCACGCTTCATTTGTGGGGTCTTCTGAGATCAAACGTGTCAAGAAATCCGAGCAGACCTTCTTAACCAGGTTCTTTCGCAAGCTAATCTCCTGCGTCGGCCTCAATACCCGGGCTCATGATATTGACGTCGATGGTGTCGCAAGCATTGCGTCAGGTCCTACTTTGCGAACGCACAGGGCCGCAGACAATGATGTGAAGGGATTTTCTGAAAAGGCGCCGGAAGATAGCAGCGTTGCAGTTCATGAACTGGTAGTTCCAGTGGCACCCTTACAGGAGCAGGGCCAACCTCTTAAAGGCGTGCTACCTATTGCGGAGACTGCGGGCGCTACCAGTGGGGCAGTGCAGCCACCGGGTTCATCTGCTCTTGGTGCCGACTCGGATGAGGATGTGCAAGCTCTGATAGATCAGCTAAGCAATGAAGACGCGATGCTGATCAAGAATGGGGGTGCAGGTATTCCCATCGGTCCTGTGAGTAGATCCCTGGTTTAATAGATACATTTCTGACTCTGGAGTTTACAGAACGGAGTGCCACGTCCACTTTTGCCACCAATAGCGCCCAGAGATGCTGGCAAGAAGTGTTTAGTACTTGACTTGGACGAGACCCTCGTCCATAGTAATTTTAGGGTATTTCTTCAACTTTTTTGGCCGGCCCTCCTGGTGTTGACTCCCCACTGCCAGGCTATACCAGATCCAGACTTTATCGTCCCCGTCGAAATCGACCACCGCTGGCACAATATGTATGTGCAGAAACGCCCTGGCGTGGATGAGTTCCTTCGCCAGATGGGCGAGTTGTACGAAGTGGTAGTGTATACCGCAAGTCTGAGTGCTGTGCGTGTGTTACAAGATGACTGACGGTGATATCTAACTAATGATTTTCTCCCTTGTTTCAACTATACGTTAGTACGCGGATCCAGTGATGGACTATCTTGACATGTACAAAGTCGTTTCGCATAGGCTCTTTCGGGAAAACTGTTACCGATTCAGAGGAAATTATGTGAAGGTTCGTTTACTTCCTGTAGATAACGTTCCGCATCTGATCGTCCTTAATTTCAGGATCTGTCGCAGCTTGGACGTCCCATGGCAGATACCATCATCCTCGACAATTCGCCAGCGTCGTATATCTTCCACCCCACGAACGCCGTGCCTATATCCTCGTGGTTTAACGATCCTCACGATACCGAACTGATGGACATATGTCCCCTTCTCATTGACATTTCTGACGCGAAAGATGTGCGAGGTGTGTTGAGCACGAGTCTATGAATGCTGGTTCTATTTATCACAGACTTGGGTGTGCTGGCGATGGCGGTATCTATGGGGCATAGGGTGTATAAACGTTTATGACTTAAATGACGAGACATGACATGCATGAATATCACTAGACTAGTACTCGTAGCGTTGAGAATACATTGTCATCTGTAGTAGTAGTACGAGAAGTGTCGAATTAGCAACTCTCATTCTACTTAGTACTGCTATACTGAAAACATTGCATACCAAGTTGATACCAAGAAGCTATACAGTACTTCACATGTTTGTTGTGTTCAAGCAAGCATCATTAGCGTAGGAAGTATCCGAGGGACAGCGAAAAAAACATGCCCTCGCTGCTCCAACAGCCGCTGGACGACTGAATCGTACCTATGTTATGTTTTACCTAATAGTACCCGCCGTAGTTCCCATCACTGTAGAAACTGTAGTTATCATCATCATCATCTTCCAATGAGTCATAGTCATATTCGAGGTCATAATCACTATCGTATTCATCCCAGCTCACGTCGGCCACCACTTCTCGCAACAACCGCACCTCGCGAGCACTGACACCCGTGCATACAGTCATCGCAAGGTGGTCTAACCCCCGACCTTCGTTGACACGATCCATGAGCACATCACGGAGGTCAGAGGGCCGCAAAAAGGTCATGGTGTACTGGTCGAAATCCAGATTGTCAAGGACAAGGTGGGAGAGTGCTGGGGAAAAAATGGGTCCCCTTCGTAAATGGCCACCCATGGACCGCGATACACTGTGCTTATGCGAACGTAAGGATTTGAGAAGATCCTCAAGAGCTGGGGCGTTTCCTCGCAAGTAAATGTATGCAAGATTGCGAGCAGTACCGCGGGCAGTAACGTCATTCCAGAAACCATCCCAACAAGGGAAATGACCTTCGACGTACAAGGCCTCGAGACTGCGCAGAGGAACGAGCCTCCGCAAGTTGTAGAGGATTGTCCTGCTCGTTTCACGGGGAAAGTCAAAGTCAAGAATGACGGGGGACTCCGCCGTCCACTCCATATCCAGAAAAGCCTTAGATGTTGACCCTACCCACGAAGTAGCCACCCACGAAAGAGGGTTCCGGACCGTGCTGCATTGCAAACGAATGGGACCATCGGCGGACAGCCGTACGGAACGGGGAACTTGCCGAGACTCAGCTTTGAAGTAACAGTCCAAAAGACGAGAAATGATGGAGAGGCTCAGATTCCATTCTTGAGTAGCATTCCCAGATGAAGATACGCGGCATCCGAGTCGAATTTCCAATCCTGCTAAATTAGGTAACTCAACGCGATTTAGCACATTGGCTACTTCCAACATTTTCGCCACCAAACGCAATCGTTTCAAGTGGGGAAGTCGGACATTCATAGCACGGGGTACACGAGGGAGTGAATTCGTGTTGACGGGAAGAGTCGGGAGAGCATCTTCTAAGGCAAGAGTGTGCAGAGCAGGCATACGACGGAGCGCAGACATGAACTCGTCTAAAGTTGGAAGGCATTGGGGTGGTAGTGCTTTGATATCAAGGACTGTGAGTCCAGTCAGGACGGAAGACGCCCATGATAGATTACAGCGGGTGATTTGGAGTTTGCGAAGGTTGGGCGCGAGGAAAGTAGTCGGGATTGCCATCTGTGGTGCTTGTGTATATGCTCCCTCCAAAGAAAGGGATAGTAGCTTGGGAGCGGAACAAGATGATAACTTGTTAAGGAATTCCACAATACAGTGGTGTGTCATACCACCATTTGAGAACATAAGAGAGACCTCTTGTAAACGCTCTATGTGTATCAATGTCTTTTGGACGCAGTCTATACGATATTGCTGGCCAGTTCGCAATATCAAGGGAGCCATTTTGGACCTCATGAGCATTTCCTCCGTGCCTTTTGAGGAATTGAGAAACGGGGTAGCCCATAGCTCCGGGGTTCCGAGGGCAACCTCGCGCCAGTAGCAACAAACGTGTCCGACGATGAGCCATGAAAGAACCACATGGCTATCAGGAGCATAAAGCATCTGAACCTGATGGGCATGATGGACAAAAATGGCACCAAGGATCTCTGGAGGAATGGAAGAAATGGGGGAGAAACTGTTTCGGCGCATCCGAAGAGCTCGCATTCTCTCTTCAAGTGCCACAAGTTCATTATCAATCTCTGTTTGAGCTTTCGAGACCAGGGCACGACTGCTTGTGGTTACTTCCGGACAGAAATGTAACATCATGTTCGCAGACGAGTGAGATCCTGGTTCAACTTGGGAACGAGTAACATCAGTTTTGAAACGTTTCAAGTCTTCGATTTATTTAAACGTACTGCTAGAATGAGATCGTGTACTGGATGGGTAGGAGTCTTGCAATTGAAATGAAGAACTGATCGTCTTCATGACTATTACTTAAGTATGCTTAAGTTCAAGTTGTTCTCGGCGAAGGCCTGACTTGCGTTATAATCACAAAATTAAATGATTAGATCAATAAAAAATATCTTCATCAAGGAATCTTGCAGGCCAGTCATATGGCAATGATAGACAACGGGCTGCAGAATTCAACATTCTGAACGACTACAAGGGGGTAGTATAAGGTCTGGTTAAGCGAGTCTGGTAACTCAGCAATACTATCGAGCACACATCGAGTGCACTCATGAGTATAACTACATATACGTCTATAAGGTAGGCCTCTGGCAGGTGTGCTGTCGTCCATCTCCAGGTGCGTGGTGGTGCAAATAAATGCATCAATAATGATACAAGAGAAACAATGCCAATGATTTAGTCCGAAATGGTCTCCAGCGTTTTACTCCACTCAACGACTTTGGGATGTGCTTGGACCTGAAGGAGGGTAAGTATGACCGTGGAGAGAGAGAATAAGGTCCTCTCGCCTTCTTTGGATCGAAATTAAGAACTTGCAGACCCTCCAAGGATGTTGCTCGAGACAGTGCGACATATGCTTGTCCTGCATGGGAGAGGTCACTTCAACTGTCAGGAGATGAATCGGCAACCAGGACAAACCCTTCTCAAACACTCTGCCAAGATCTACCTTGACTCTCTCCAGCGTCTGTCCTTGCGATTTGTGGATGGACATCGCCCAAGCTAATATCAAGGGCAGCTACCACCAAAAGTTAGCCGCGTTGACATTATCAAACAAAAAACGGTGCACCTGGTTCCTCGACACTTGTATCTCTCCGTTGGGTAACTCCACTTTCCAGGTCTCAGTTGAGATCATAGCTTCCCTGCGCCCTCCGTTCGGCAGCAAAAATTCCACGACTGGCATGAACATGACACTCGTCATTGCGGTTTTTTTCCTTTCTGACTTCGGCTTTCCTGCATTACCGTTGCCATCGACATCGTCATAGTCAGTCCCATACACCGCTGGGTCGACAAAGCGTAAAATCTTGCCCATGCTGCCATTGACGAGCGTTTCATCCATGTTTTTGATCAACATAACCTGGGCACCAACACGAAGAACAAGTTTCTTCGGTGCCATGAAGTTCGCAAGCATCTTCTCGCGTTGGTTCAAGTCAGGAATTGTGCCGGCGTCCGAAGCATCGTAATGTCTTTGCTCAGTTTGAAGGTGACCCATGCGGCCATTATTGGATCTCTCCACGTCCTCTCGACGGGGGAAGCTGCATCCAATCAATTACTGGGGCCAAAAAGATCGAGTAGAAGACTGACAGCTCGGTTGCTCCCGGACCGTCCCCGTAGTCAATCGGTCGCGACAAAGACTTGAACCGAGCAATAGATTCTTGCGAAAGCCGCCCGAAACGCATTTCGGTGAGCATGTCAACAAATTCTGAACGACGCTCAGCATTTAGTCAGTTCTGCTAATGTCCTCCTTACGCTGATCTTTTTGCCTGAAGACTTTGGTGAGATTGAATGTGCGCTTGATGGTCTGGCTCCAGAGCTGAGCTTCAAAAGCAAATTTGACCTGATTAGTACCCTTCCCGACGGGGGGCAGTTGGAAGAAATCGCCAGTGACCACAACCTAACAATCGTTTTAGTAGAGTTCAATGAAGACTGACTCCGAAGCAAACCTGAATTCCTCCAAAAGGCTCTGGAGACCTCCGTATTAAACTGCCAATTCGTGCAAGTTTGTCGAATAGTTCTCCGTCCAACATCGAAACTGATGATATGATACATGATACAGAATACTGCACTTGCTAATCAAACGTACCTTCATCGATAATGAGGACCTTCGTCCGTAACCATCTCGACGCAGCTTTCTTGTTCTTACGCACTCTGTTCGTGAGCTCTTCCGCAGAGGCTTCTCCGATACCAATGCCTGCAAATGAATGAATCGTGACGCCCCCGATGTTACATGCCGCGATTCCTAGCCATGTGATGTCAGGACGTGAAACAGTGAGTATATGCGTCCTAACCTGTTGATGCAGTAATGGCAATAGCATCGGGAGATTTGACATATTTCTTTCGCAATGTGCGAATGATTTCTCGGAGCAAGACCGATTTCCCAGTACCTTATCAGCATACAATTAGGCAAAATCACAAAAGAAGAATTTGTATACTACTTACCGGCACTACCGGTGTAGAACACGCTGTCCCCACTTTCCACGAGGCGAAGTATATGCGTCTGTTCCTGACTAAGGAATACTCCAGCAAGCTTAGTAGAGGGCTTTGTTGACGAAGAAGCGACGGTCAATGACGTAGACTTTACTGCCGGCAAAGAAAAACTGTTCGATTTCTTGAATCCAGATGAGGAAGATAGCGTGTCGTCGGTCCAGGTGGATGGAAGCTGACGCTTCTTTGCTGGCGGAGGATTTGGAGCAGGTGGGGGGGCCCGTTTGCTCCCGTTTGCTATCTGTTTCGTGCTGATTTCTGGGCGCTCTCCAGGGGGTTGCTTCCCTGTAAGCGCATCAAGCGCAAGTTGGATGTCTTTCATACGCTGTGATTGAACACCAGGTGGCTTCGATGACTGGGACTGGGTAGATTGGGTGGGCTGAGTGGGTGGCCATGAAATACGGTCTTCAGACTGAGAACTGGATTGCGACCAGTCGCGTCTGATGGTGCGCAATCCAGAAAGCGCTGATTGGCCTCCGTTGGACATGTTGGCCTTGAACCGAGGTAAACTTGTACAGTGCTGCAACAAAGGCTGGAGGGTCGATCAAACAAAGTGTTGTCAGATTTGACCAAAAAAATAAAGTTGTCGGGAGAATAAAAGTCGTGCAGGTCGTCGTCCAAGAAATTAACGTTAGGAGGTGAGCAAACGCGATACAAGTTGGTTAAGCTCAATCCAAGTCCACAAAACGCGAAATCACGGGAACGCGTTCATTACGTAAAATTTATCTTAGATTTGGGGTGACAGAAGACGACTCGGACAATGAGCAGATTTTGGGAGATCCTGAACGATCAGGTAGTCTATTCGAGCTTGGATTACTCTGCTACGTTCACAAGTATGATATTAGACTAGCAACGAAATTTTTTAGATACGGATGTAGGGCAGAACATAACCATGTCAGACTTCCTGAAGAATGAAACCTGCACTTCTCAACTGCCCATCTCGACGTTGATTAGACGTTGAGACGACCATTCGTCTAGGCACTTCACCAGAACCGGTACAGGGTGGAAGCATATGAGCACTGTCCGGGCAGAAAGAGGCCTTGAATCATGAAGAAGAAAAAGGAAAATTTGCCTTTTAATATTCGAGATTTGTACCAAATATTGCCAAATACTTAACACTGCCACCATGGTCAGTATTACGCCACTTGCAAATCCTTATGATCGACACCGCTCCTGCTGGAACCTCCACCAGCCCGTAATGACCAACTTGAAGACGGTTCTTGACCATCTTAAAAGTTCCAAAGTAAAGGAACGACAAGAAGGAATTATTTCTCTCAAAGAAGCGTTCTCGCGCGATGATGCTGTCCATGGTGTCGCGGACGGACGCGCCTGGCTGGTCGTGTTCCAGGCCCTCTTTACAACAGTTACCAGTGAAAAGGCAGAATGCGACAAGAAAGCTGCCTCAGGAAAGAGCGCATCAACGGGTGCCGCTGCCTTGCGCAGACTAGGGGATGCCACCGCCACCGTTCGTTGGCTGGTGGAGAGAAGCTTATGCAGCCTCACTATGAAAATCCTGACACCCCTCCTGGCTCATCTCTTACAGATGATGGTTTATCGTGGTCAACTATATGCTCCACTCGCTCTTGACTATCTCAAGACCATCAAGATACTTCTCAGCTGGACGCCACACATCGAACACCTCGACGCGACTACTTGGATCAGCATAGCTGAATTGGCCTTTAACATCATCTTTGATGATTTGATCAAGACAAAGTTTGAGGATGATACTGGAGAGAGCAATGATGAGAGCATGCAGGTTGACATTTCCGGCATGTATCAAGATGACTCTGACGAGAAGGAGGACCATGAGCCCACTACGGCAACGCAAAAGCGTAAACGAAAGGGCAGAGAACACAGTGCCACGCCCGCTCCCGGTGGTGTGCATTCCACCAAGTCGCGCAAGGCGTCTGTACAACATTCGGTTTCCTTGGAGCAAATCGAGTGTGCTTCCTTACTTGCCATTCTGTTCCGCTCTCCTTCAGCTCCGTTCCTCTCAGAGGATGTGCCAAACCTGTCGTCTGCTATCCTGAACCGCATGCGACGATTCTTGGAACGCTACCCCGGTGATGCATCCCTTCACCATGACTACCTTCTGGCCCTGCAGCCAGTTTTGTCTCATCTCTGCCTCAATCGGACAAAGGACGTTGAAACTTTTGCTCGGTCAACGTGGAACCAGCTTGTTGGACTATGGGGTACCAAGAACAAGCGCATGAAGGAAAGTCTTGTTGGCATTTTGAGAACGCTATTCCCGTTCTTGACAGCTGCACATGACGGGCCATCTTTCGCTTGGGTGGACGGAGTGTACAAACTTTGGACCCTCCTGAGCGGCGAAGCCGACAGTCGCCGGGGTCTTGATAGTCTGTCTCTCGACTCCTTGAGGCTCGAGGTCCTTCCTTCTGACGCCGAACACTGCGAAAGTGGGGTGTTTGTTGCGCATACATTCAGGGCCGGATGGCATTTTGATTCTTCTCAAGCCCTTGCGTGGGCTTTGATGGAGCTACAAGCTGACTGTGCAGAGAAGGCGAGCTCTCATTCATCATTTGAATTTCTGCAAGCTGACCGCTATATTACAGCTCTTCGATCATTCCGAGTCGACGCATATTGGTACACCGGACGGTGAAGGAAGCCTAGGGAAGCGTGTCAAGCGTGAAGACCCTATAGTATCACTTCTTCATTTCATACAGTCGACAACCACTTCCAGCGTTAGGACGTATCATCTCCAAGTTCTCCTATTTTTCATTGATCGGCATTGGTCGTGCCTGCATATTGCACTCCAACAGGATGTGATGAACACCCTGCTTCAATTTGTCTCCGTAGATGATCCCATCATTCAATCCTGGACATTCCTATGCTTCGCCGCAATTGCACAGTCTGATGGCATTCAGGGTTCACGTGCAACCCAATCACCATCAGGCACCGTACAGAACGCAGTTGTCCGTGATTCCACTGTCTGGGATCCTGTGTGGACTCATGCCATGCGCAGAGCTAATGTCCCTGTGGTTTGCCGGGCGGCATGTCACGCCGCTCACACACTTATCCTTCACTCCAAGCTCCTGTTAACGTCTCAACGAGTTCTTATCGAAATCGAGACCTTGGCGAAGGATCTGGATCTACAGGGCCCTGCATTTCCGTACGATTCTGTGTGTATGTTCCTTGCGCAATGTTTGCGTGTTGCAAGCCAAGACGTGAGACTATACCGAATGCAGTTGGAGGAGAAGGTTCTTAGCTGGCTTCTTGATAATTGGAGAATTGGTGCAGGGCAGGCGGCGAAGGATACCAGTGGGAAATCGCGGATGCCACTTCACACTATTGGCGACATTCTTGGCTTGCTAGAGAGCATATGTGGAACTTCGAAGCGAAGCGGTCTTCTTTGTCGCATGTTACTTCCCGATTGTGCCATTGTCGAGCTCATGGAGGAAGAGCGGAAAACCAAGGTCATCCGTGATTTCCTGCTTGATGCTCGACTTCCTTCCTTCCGCAAGGGCGCTGTATCTGCAGGCGGCGAGACAATTACCCACAGCACCGTCAATGATGAGTCGGTTATCGACTCCGAGCTTGTTCAGCCTCGGGGACGCGAGCGTCGAGTGTCCTTGTCTCTGCTCAAAGCAATGGAATCCCTGACTGCCGAATGGGACATATTCAAGGACACCAACGCCCATCCGACCGCCGAAAAGCTCAGGCAATCACTCGATGCCGTTGTCACCGCCTTTGCATTCGAAACCCTACTCGTATGGAACGGAATGCGATGTAATCGGCGCGTTCTGCAATCCGCGGGGCGAGTAATGTCACTTCTTGCACCACTCCTCACAGATGCACGCTGGACAGAAGATGAACGCGTGCTAATTTTACACTCCCTGGAACCTCTAGTGATGAACGGAGAGGAGCGTAGCACGAACGAGGAGTGGGAAGCTATGCTTGGCCCAGATTTCGGCTCTGGTATTAGATCGCACACTCTCAAGGGCCTGAAACGGAATCTCTCCGAGATGCATCACTCTTATACAGTCCGACGGCTGTTTCAGCGGGTCTTTTGGGCAAATGCAGACGTGGGTCTTCGTTGCGCCGCATACCAGTGTCCAGTATATTGACAAATCTTCAGATCCAGGATGCTTTCTCCGCGGTTTCTGATGCCCTTCGGCAATCTCTTCGCACTATGACAGGCCAAATTCGTAAAGGGGCACAGGATGTTCATGCTCCGGATGCAGACGGATTTGGCGCTATCAGGACAACTCGCGCTGGACCGCCGACAGAAGATGATGCAGCACGTGATGACATTACTGCTGCGAACCAGTATCTCGCTGACCTATGTGTCATATTCCTCGCAACGACTCCTGTTCTTCGATCATCACCCACGGAAGCCATGCGCGATAAAGAGCTGACAAAACTCATAGTCGATTGTCCCGCGGAAAAGCTTCTTTTGATAGGCGGCGCCGTCTTAGGATCAGTTCGACGGCGGGTTTTGAGTCTTAGCGTGGATGTCCTCAACGAAATTCTTCAGAAAGTTGGAGAGCTTCTTGGCGAGCATTCTCATGGTCACAATGCTTATCTGCATGTTATTGTTGTTGATTTACTGGACTCCACTTCCCATCTTTGGCTCCAGAAGTCAATCGCAGACACTGACGTCGGAGATCATATCAGCGAGTTATGCGGCTGGCTCAGTCATAATATGTGGAAGAGGACATTTGCTTCCTGGAAAATGCGCGACTTCGCTTCCCAATTTTTTGCTAGGTACATTGCCCAAGATCCTTCCGAGTCCTTTTGGCCAACACTATACGGCAAGAAACCCATACAACGACCCTCTACCATTATTCCTATGCTGAACATGGATGAGGATATCCGTGTACGCTTCCGGGCCGCAGTTGTCAATGCTCGTCTCTTCACCCTGCCTCGTTTTGCCGGTCAGAACTCCCTTGATATGTACAATGCAATCAAAGAGGGGTTGACCAAGGATCTCTCGAAGTGAGTCTCGATACGTATCCTTTTTTTTGACCCACTAACATTCGGGACACAGTTACGAGCAAATGCTCACTCGTACCTTGTGCCTCGGTAATATCATGGTCGTGAGTTCCGCTGTGAGGCGTGGACCTTACTGGCACTTGATAGAAGCGGCGTTTCATAGCCCACTTTACACGCGCCACATCCAAGCGACTCTGACTGGTGTTTCTGAGAGACTTGGACTTCCTAAATTGTCGGACCTCTTTGAAGCCTACGCTTCACAGATCGCGTACTCCATTCGGCAGGCTTTCCAGGATGTACTTCGTCTATCTCCTCAGCTCCTTGGCTACCAGAATCGAAGGGAATGCGCAGAAGCAACCTTCCGTCTTTTCACACCGACGAATGTCATGGCAGGCGGTGGAAGTTCAGAGGCGGTAGACCATGGCCGTCGATTATTCCTGAGCCACTGCGCCGCCAATCAGAAGACGGCTGCCGACGGCTTGCAGGAATGCTTGGGTGATCTCATCGGATTCCAACTTGTATTTTGGTTGGATGATGGACGAGTCGATTGTAATACGCCACCGGAGCAATTGAAGAAGATGTTGAAGGACAAGGGCGTCGACCTCAGCCAAGAACAGGGTTTCAACAGTTGTGTGGAGCAGAATGCAGCGAGCATTGCGGCGGCAGTGGTTCGGTCCTTAGGGGACCAGAACTTCTCTGCCGAAGGTGCGATCATGCAAGCAATCAAGGCGCATGATTCGAACCACTCCGCTCAGGTTTTCAAGGCTCTGTCAAAGTACCGAACCTTGGATGACTTCAACCTTCACAGCCCAAATCTTCCTGCGTTTGGCTCATCCACTGTCTTACAAGCCCTCAACTGGTGCATTTCACTTGCCGCCCGCGATCACGTGAAAGCCATATCCTATCATGTCCTCCACCAGCTTTTCTCCGAAGTCCAGAGATCACCCTTGGTCAATGAACAGATCCGCCTGCTTAATGGCATTTCTCTTCTGGTAGCGGTCCGTCATGAGGACTTCCAAGACCCCACACTACTCCACACCCTGATCCACGAGGCAACGTCTCTTCTCGCTCAAGCGGACCTCGTACAGACAGCTCGCTCTTTGCTCGAATGGGGCTTTACCATGTATCGTTTGACGTCTCAAGTGGATCAAAGGTTTCCTGATGTGCTCATCCGAGTGTGCGCTCAGGCTCATGATTATTCACTGGCCACCGATGACGTTCAAATCGCGGACATGGGCAAGGGCCTGTTGCATTGGATCGACAGGCAAGCTCTTGAACTTTGCCGAAGTAGCAAAATCCGGCCGCAGGTCATGAACGCCTTGTCAGCTTGGCCACATCAGCCTTCATCTGAGTTGTTGTCGGTTTATGATGATATTACTGCGGATGGTCTTTCCATGATATTGAGCGACTACCGCATTGCATCCAACAAGTTCCGCCTTGTGAGACGGCTCCGAGACCTCGCAGAGCAGGGCGTCTATGATCGAGCGCAGTTCGCCAAGACAGATTTCTGGCGCCTCAAAGATTTCATTCCTACCAGGGATCAGCTCCAACCAGACGACGTCGATGCATTTGCTTCTCTATTGATTGCGAATAATGGGGACATCTACAGCTTCGGAAGTGAACAGCCCTTTCTGCAGACATTGCGGGGACGACATCGGCGCAGTGCAAAAAAGCGGGAGGCATCGCAGATGGAATTTTCACCTCAGCGGGCGATCATTCAAACGCTGCTCGCTATGGTTGACGGAAACTCACCACAAGAAGTCACTCTCGCTTACTGCACCCTTCGCTCCGTTGTGTCAGCTTCTTCATCGGACGCCCTCCTCCTGCAATCTTGGCCCGTCGAGTCGAGAGCTGCTTTGGAATATCTCCAACAATATCCTGTCAAAGCAAGGACTCGGTGTGTTCGCAGCGTTGACGAGCTGCAGGAGACTGTCGAGTGTCACCTGGAGTCCGAATATCGGAAATGGATCAGCGAGCTGACCATCTTACTCAGTGATGTGCTTAGCGCTGTGGACCCATTTTACGCACAATTCTCGACGTTCTTGGAGCGCGATGTTTCTTTTGCAGATGAAATGCTTCCGGTATTGGTTCACACTTTGCTGCAGAACGAACTTGATCGGCCAGAACCAACGGGCATGTCCCCGAAATTGCGTCTATCGGAATATTTCAGCGCCATACTTGCCATGGATAATGTCCATTTGTCCTGCTTAAGGTCTGTTGTCGACGTCGTGCTTCATCTTCGCAACTTTCGCCCAAAAGATTCCACTGATTCCCTGGCTCACGACAAATGGCTTGACATCGATTACCTGCTCCTTGCAAGAAGTGCAGTAACATGTGGCGCGTATACGACTGCCCTTCTTTTTCTCGAGCTCGCGGCCGAGTACCAGTCCTTAGACATGGACAATACGACAGACACAGAGCATATCCTTTTCGAAATTTACAGCCACATCGACGAGCCCGATGGATTCTATGGGATCAGGACCGCTGATCTACGGCATTTCCTCATCAAACGGTTTCACCATGAGAAGCAGTGGGAGAAAGCCTTTCGTTTCCACGGTGCTGCCCTTGAGGCTGGAAGCCCTGAGGCAGTTGACACGGACGGCCTGCTCAGTTCTTTCCACGCCTTCGGCTTCGACCGTCTTGCTATTGGCACTCTCCAGACGTCCCAGATTGGTGACTCGAGGAATTCATCGTCTGCCATGTGCTATCAGCTGGGTTGGCGTACTGAAACCTGGGACTTGCCTGACTATGCAGGAGATAGTTCTGGAGCTACACTTTATCAGGCACTACGAGCAGTGTACAGGGAACGGAACCCGCGGGCAGTCGACGCCATTGTTCGCAGCTCGCTTGATGACGAAATGACCCGTCTGCGGCAGCTTGGCACTGAGAACATCTCTGGTATCCGCGAGGTCGCTCGTAACATCATGTGCCTCGGTCAGATCACACAGTGGAGGAGTCATTCTATGCAGCAGCAGCTTTCACGCAAGTCGGAAGATATCAGTAGTCTGCCCAAGCTCGAGGAAATCAATCCTGACTTCCAGTGAGTTCTGAGAATGAATTTGATCTAGCTTTCGTTGATGTTTCTGTGCGACAGATTTACCGATTTGGAACAGATCCTTGCAACGAGGATCTCATTGGTTCGGTCGGTCAGGCAGAAAGAGGAACGAAAGCAAATCGGCAGTTTTGCTACGCCATTCATCCGTGGTATTCTAGACCTCGAGAAGCGATGCCTCGTCCGCTTATCCATCGCCGCTCGGAAATCCAATCAACTGCAAGTGGCACTGAACTCCATCGTGAAAGCCCAGCGTCTCGAGAACAATGCCAGCTTTGAGGTTGCTCGTGAATTCGCCAATGTTCTGTGGCTCCAGAAGGAGCAAAAGTTGGCAGTGCAGTACCTCAAGGACCTGGTAAATGGTCAGGAGTTAGGTCCTGATGGTGCAGTGGAAAAGGCCTTGTCGTTGGCTCGACTGGTATGCCTCTTTTTTCCCCATGATAGTGCAAGTTATTCATGTCTGTGACAGGGAGACTGGATTGCCGAGGCGTGTCTAGAAAAACCAACCGACATCAAGAGAAAATTCTTCGATCCTGCCGTCGAGCTAGCCATCGCGGCCGAGAAACGGACGAACGTTCGCGATCACGCATGTGCCACTGTTTTCCACAAGTGCGCACTTTTTGCCGACCAACAGTATCATTCCATCCTGAAGTCGTCAGACGCCGTGCGCTGGAAGATTTATAAAGAGCGCAAGAAACAGGAGGTCAGGCAGAGAGACAGCCAGCTGCAGAGAACTCAACAAGGGACAACCGAGTTCCACGCATTGACAGAAGAACAAAACAAGGCAAGAATCATTCTAGCCTGAAGATGTGAAAGCTTATGAACTCCATACGGGAGCGCGAGATGCGTTCCTTGAGCTGGCTCTTGACATGTACTCTCGCTGTCTGGCTTCCTCTGACCGTTTTGATGACGATGGTCCAATTCGCTTTTCATCCCTTTGGTTCGCAAATTTCGACGATCATAGCATTCAGGACAAGCTTCAAGCGGCTCTCGACCGCGTACCCTCCCGCAAATTTGTCTTCCTCTCCCATCAGCTATCTGCTCGTATGTCAAGATCCTCAGCAGAGATCCCGAAGAACCAGCAGAACCTCCAAGCACTCGTCTTGCGCATGTGCCAAGAGCATCCTTTCCACAGCCTGTACCAAGTATTCTGCTTACGTCCAGAACAATCCTCGGGTGCGCGAAGAACTTCCTCACGATTTGAACCTACATCATCGCAGACGGACCGCGGAGGAGCTGCGAGCGCCATCTTCGATAGGCTCTTCAGTGATCCCATTCACACATCAAGGATCAAATCGATCGAGCAAGTCTGTAACGCCTCGCTGCAATGGGCGAAGTACCCCGTGAAAGATCGTGCCTCAAAGAAAACCGATACTGCCCTACGCATTCCTGACGCCTTGCTCATTCGGAAGTTGCGTGACGTCCAGGTTCCTGTCATCACCTGCAATACACCCATTGATTCAACCCTCAAGTACAATGATTGTGTCTGGATCAGTCACTATGACCCAGCATTCAGTACAGCCGGGGGCGTCAACGTCCCGAAGATTAGTGTCTGCTACGGCAGCAATGGGGAGAAGTACAGGCAGCTCGTACGTGATCCTCGTGAATTCCATTTGTGTTCTGACATGAGAGGTCTCTGCAGTTCAAAGGCGAAGGCAACGACGATCTACGGCAGGATGCTGTCATGGAGCAAGTTTTCCACCTGTGCAACATGGTGCTACGCTACGACAAAGAGACTCGGAGACGAAATCTCAATGTCCGGGGTTACAAAGTCCTACCTCTCGCTACCCAGGCCGGAGTCCTCGAATTCGTAGGCAACACCGTCACCCTCCAAACCTGGCTCCAAGACGCGCACCACAGGTAACTCCTACCTCCCCACCTTTGTCCAATCTCACTCACATACTTGTAGGTACCGCCCCACCGACCTAGACCACCGACAGATAGCAGCCCAACTTAAACATACCCGAGACAAAAACGGCGGTAAAACCGAAGCGATGGTAGCAATCTTCCACCACATATGCCTACGAAGCCAACCCGTGATGAGGCACTACTTCACCGAAAAACATAAAACCCCCATCACCTGGTTCGCCATGCGTCTTAACTACACCCGCAGCGTCGCTACCACTTCTATCGTGGGACATATCCTCGGCCTTGGGGATCGTCATGTATCGAATATTTTGATTGATAATGGGTCGGGAGAGGTTGTGCATATTGATTTGGGGATCGCTTTTGATCAGGTGCGTGTGTATGGTGTTGAGAGGAGGTTGTTTGTGTTTAATATTGGTATTAACAACGCAGGGTAAATTGTTACGTATCCCTGAAAGAGTGCCGTTCCGAATGACTCGGGATATGGTCGATGGGATGGGGAGGTGTGGGACGCAAGGTGTTTTCCAGCGCTGCGCGGAAGAAACCCTCCGTGTGTTGCGTGATAGGTCAGATGTTATACTTACCGTGCTTGAGGTGTTCAAGCATGATCCGTTGCATTCATGGTACGTTACTCCTCCCTTCCCTTCCCCTCCAATGTTGAGTGACTGACTCCACTATAGGACAGCAAGCGAGCTCAAGATCAAAAAAGTCCAAGACAGCACAGCTGAGGCTACCCGAGTCCCCCGGGATGTGTCCCGCTTCGGTGCCATCGCATTAGACCTAGAAAGCGGGTCTGCAGATGAAGCCGCAGATCGTGCGCTGGCAGGCGTGGCGCGCAAACTCGACAAGGCGTTGAGCGTGGAGTATACGGTTAACGAACTCATCGCGGAGGCTACGGATATAGTCAACTTAGCGACGATTTATCAGGGTGAGTGGATTGGTTGGTTTCTTTTTGGATCGCGGCCTGACTGTATTGATAGGATGGAGTCCCGACTTTTAGACGCGTTTTGGGATATTAATGGTTCTCTTCAGTTATGCTTATATTACCCTTTCTCGGACTACACATAAAAGTTATCTCTGCATCGTTCATCCTGTATCCCTAGTCATTCTCAACCAATCAATCATGCACCTCCAAACGGAAAAACGACATGAGATTACATCAATCAAAACAACAACAATCAAATCAAGTCAAGTAACACAAACAAGCAAACAAATAAAATTCTCGCACAAACGCGCACTTTTCGTCTACAATGGGATGATATGGCTGTTGGATACGACATGATGGTTGTACGATTCGGGGATGCATGTATTACAAAACTCGGTATACGGGGTTGGTATTCAGCGACCGCGTGACGGGTAGATGCAAGAGGTAGATGTTTCGGCATGAGCGAGAATAGAGTGTTCAGGTGTGTCTCGCTTTATGGGTAGACAGACATGAAATGAAACGGAATAAAAGGAAAGAAGGGGGGGATCACTTGTTTTTAGCGATCTCCCGTGCAGCTTTGATAAGCGGCGCGAGCGTGCGCAGCGGTTCGCAGAGTTTGAAAAACGGATGCTTTAAACACACGGGCACGAATGAGTTCAGACGAAGAAACGTGGGAGACAAGACAAGACACGCACCTGCAACAACTCGCTCGCCGTAGGCCGTTTCTCAGCATCCACTTCTAGCGTCTTTGCGAGATAATCGCTAAACACCGACGAGAGCGCTTCGGGGTTCGCGATGGTAGGCGTTCCGTTTGTAGCGATGAGGTAGAGCGCCTTCAGTGGGTTTTGGTTGAGATATGGGGGTTCGCCTTCGATCATTTCTGTGCGTCGTTCAGTAAATCAAACGATTCGAATGATAGAACGAATGAGACGGGGAACGCACCGATGGCCATGATTCCCAAACTCCAGATATCAACCTTTGGCCCGTACTCTTTCCTCGTCACCACCTCCGGAGCCATCCAATAAGGTGTGCCTACCATCGTCGTGCGCTTCGAGTTTGCAGGATCTGAGATCTGCGCGCAGAACCCAAAGTCCGCTGGGGGCGCATGAGTACCACTCAACACAACAAGGGGAGGACGGCACTCACTGAGCTTGATATCTCCCCCAAGACTCAACAACACGTTATCGCTCTTGATATCCCTATGGATAACGCCATGGCGGTGGAGATGTTCCAATCCCTGGCACGTCTCCCTGCTCACCGCTGCAATCTGACCTTCTGTCATGAGATTGGCAGTAACGACATCCGTCAAGCTTCCTCCTTCCATGTACTCCATCACGACCCAAAGATCGTTCTTGTGCAGAAAGGAGTCGATGTAGTTTACGATGTTTGGGTGTCTAGAAGCGCGCATGACGAGGATCTCATTAATGATGAGGTCTTTCTTGGGTTGTTTGTCGAGGTCCATTTGCTTGATCGCCACCGATAGATTGGTGCCTACTTGGTATGCTGTGTACACGCCACCAGAAGCACTAAAAGCGGCTCAGCACTCGAACAAAGAATAAAAACGGGCGCCACTCACCCCTGCCCGATCTTGATGAGGTTCCGGTATAGCTTGGTCGGATCTGCATCCGTGCATATCTGCTGCAAGCGCTTGATGATATCATCCTCCTTGTCACCGCCACCTTTCTTCTCCCTGCGACGCGGGGTGGCGATGCCGGTTTGCTTTGCGAGGGTTGGGGGTTGGGGAGGGGGTGGTGCGGGCTTGGGTTGGTCGCGATCTCTTTCACGTTCTCGCTCGCGGTCGCGATCCCGTTCACGTTCGCGGTCTCTTTGACCTTTGGTGCTGAGATCGGTTTGGCTGGCGCCGATGCTGGGGGATCGGACCCGGGCTGCAGCGGTTGTATTTGATCGTCCCAGGTCTTGGGATTTGGATGCTTTGGGGGGTGCGCGTTGGGATGTGCTGCGGTCTAATGCGGCGGCGGGGAGGGGAGGGGCTGCGCGGACTGGGGTTGTGGCGGGTGATGGGGCGTAAGGGGTGGATGGGGAAGGAGTAGGTTTTTTGGGTGGTGGAGGGGCTGTGCGCTAAGAAGAGGTTAGATGAGCGGAGATAAAGGGAGTAGTGGCTTACCGGATTGACGAAGCCGTCATTAACGGCGGTGGATTGTTCGACACCCACAGCACCCATCTTGTCCCACACATCGCCTCTTCCTTCTTGATAAAACTTTACGATCTCCATGACAGCCTGGGGATTCTTTTCCTGCTCGCTCCTACTGATACCGGATTCTTGGAGTAGCTGCTGCCATTCCTTTGGGAGACCTGTGAACTCGCCGGTGGAAGAGTTGAAACCGACGTGGGTGAGGTGAACGGGATCGTAGGGAGTGCTGATCTCTGGACGCTTTGAAGGAGCAAGGAAGTCGAACATGCCGCCTAGCATGCCACCCTTTTTGAGTTTTACAGTAGTGCCACTGCGACTGCGAGAACTTGTACTGGAGATTGAGGGTAGATCGGGTAGGATATCTACTGGCTCTGAAGTGTAAGGAGTATCTGTGATCGGTACTGATAGACGGCGAGTTGCGATTGGACTGTTGTTTGTAAAGATGTCGTTTAGAGTTGCAGTATTTGCCCTACTTGGGCGAGGAGGTGGATTTGGACTCATGTTTGATTGTTTGATCGGTGCTGCTGCGAAAGGATCTGGTGGTGGTGTAGATGAAAGGCTATGTTTCCTAGTCCTCTTTTGAAGACTATTGCGAACTCGAGGAGAAGAAGGGTCTACTGGGGTTTTGGTACGAGTCGGTGGTGGTGGTGGTGGTGGTGGTGGTGCAGAACGAGAAGGAGTCAAAGAATAAGGATCTTTGTAAGTTGATTCGTGTATTAGATCTGTATATTCTTGAATTGATTCTCTTGAAGGTCGATGATATTCAATAGTGATTTTACTTTGCCGCCGTGAATTATGCTGCGGAGTAGTACTCGAAGGTGTGTGTCGATGGCTCATCGCAGCTGGTAACCGTTGCTGCTTTGATGGTTACCAATTGATATTGTTTCAATTTCGTCGTCGTCGTCGTCGAACGACAACAAAATTTGAAAGGCCAAGTCGATATCGTCGATGATCTCGAGATTGTCTTGTCGATGTCCTCGTCGATGCCCTCAACAAGCACCTTACCTTCCCTTTAATGACTCAGCATTCATATTCCCACGCTCCTAACATCACGTGATGTCTACTCGCGGAGTGGCTTACCCTCGCGTACCTCGTCATTTACTATCGGTAAGTACAATAACTTCTAATGACTTTCAATAGTCTTTCATCAACCAAGCATGCTTCTAAACAACGTCATCCCAAGATGAACTCGATCATCCAAGTAGTATTAGTACTGCCTCCGACTAACACGGGCGCTTACGGAGCCTTGATTTGAATCCGCGCCCGCCGGTATTGCCTATACTGGATAAAATGACGTCTCTCATTTCCCCTCAACAGACTCAACACTTGTGAGTCAGCCCAACCCCAAGACCTGCAAAGACCATCATCCGTCCATTTATTCAAACTTTTTTTCGGAATGACTTTCAGCTTGACAGGGGTCAAGTCACACTCCTTTCTGCTTGTTTCACCCACTCATGACCCGCTATGACCTGTCGTTCCACCAGTGGAGATCTCGCCGTACAAATTAATCGTGAGAAAGACGTGCACTCACCGTGCCAGATCTACGGTACAATAAAACTGGACGAAGCGGCGCAAGAGGAACAGACAGACCAAGGAAAAGACCTCACGGAGCTGCGCGGGCGCGATAGGGGTCGCCCCCCAATACTGCACAGAAAAAAGAGCTCGTTCAGCTTGCGCGATATCTTTCAAAAACAAGAGATGACGCCGCCTTCGAGCAAAACTACCTCGCCGGTTGTGTCCTCACCAGATAAAGTCTTGTCGCCAGATGAAATCACCGGCGCACCCGCCCAGGAGCACTACAAAGGTGAGAAAGAAGTCCCGTCGTCAGATAAAATAGTCGGCGCACCCACTCAGACGGAGCACGAAGATGAGGAGGAGCTTCGTTCCCTGTCACGAGCATCTTATCCCCAAATGAAATCATCAGCGTTCTCGCTCAACAGTACCAAAAAGATGAGACGGAAAACGGTCTAAACTGCAAACCGTGAGTCTTCGTTCGTTATGGAAATCTCATCGCTAATGGCGAAAGACGACTCACGACGACATTATACGACGCCAAGCACAAAATGCGTCTACTTAAATGTTCACATCCAAAACCTTCACCAGACACGGCGGATCCAGGCTCACAAACAAAATCTCTCACCGGAATCCAGGCTTGACATTGATAAAATGTTACAATCACTTCACCATCATGTTCATGTTGTTACTTACGCTTACGATCACTCACTTGTATCTTACATACCTATCATCACTCAATGCCACAATTGTAGCATCGCACTTCACATACTTTGCAATTGAACATCATTACTCGTGCTGGTTTCGTCGCACGTTTCCTATCTGGAACCTTGCCTTCTACCTTCCGAACGGATTGGCATGCGATCAAGGTTGTTTTATGTAGACACCTACGACAGTCACAGTATTAATGCACTGACAGTTGAAAATATCAGAGGTCAAGGGTTCGCGTCGACTCTGACCGCGCTGGGTATTATTTCTCAACAGATGTCATCCATCAGATAGTCGCGATGTACAATTATTCGAGAATACCTAATGGATGCATCCGAGTCTGTCGAGTGATGGTAACCCCACTGCTTAAATGGGTCGGGGAACGAGGACGTTTGAAAGTAAACCGGAATCCCTCGACAAACTAGGACGTTTGATTTCAGTATGGTATCAGATACACGTCAGCTACATTCTACCGACCAACCTGCGTAGACCCGAAAGGCGCCAAGGAAGTGGTTTAACGAGGCGATAGTGAGTCGTCTTTCTTCTCCAGGAAAATACCAGCGAACATCGCTTCAACTACGGTTCGCGTTATCTCCAGTCATACACACACATTTTGGGAACAAAGCAAAACATGGAGTAGGTCCCCCCGATGGGTATCGAGAATCCACCCTAGATGTACAAAGCTCACGTAGATGACTTCAGACGGTGTAACTCCCTTATCGACGAACACATCATAGACGAGAGAATGACACCATCTGAATGCCATGGGCTACGCAGTCAGCTCAGGTCAGAAAATTTTGTCAGAGAGCTGTCCGCCGTCATGAGTTCAGCGGAGAACCGGTCTGGCAGATCTGTGGCGACGAGTATGTTAGCATCTATTCCAACCAATAGCCAACCAAAGCTAACCTTGTCCACACTGTACTCGTGATTCCATGACTTTCTGTGTTTCGTTCGGTTAGGATAGCTCGAAAACTTACCTCCCTGAACCAAGTCGTCTTCTCCCGTGATACGAGCGATAGGTCGCTGAATAGACGAGAGACGTGCAGTGTCGTCCTCTAGATCGATCAAAATCAGTAAGCTTGTGGGCAACACAAAAAATAGTCGTTCTCCACTTCCATGAACGGCAGCAGATGACTACTCGATTCAAATTTCACATGACCTTGCGTACAGGTCAAATGATGAAGATGATCTATGCGATGCATTAGATGATCGCTGCTAGGGAAAACGTGCGTGATATTTAATATCCACGGCGAAGACTTCGAATTTGCGCAATTGACTCAGCGGCGGCGGGTGTGCATACTACACTGTGAAACACGAATGTAGGTGGTGACAAGTCGTGCTTGATTGGGTATTCATATAAGTGAGCGCCTCACGTTCATGTTTACTACGACCACCTGCCTCCACCTGCCCATCACTCGATGCCACCATATATCTCACATCGCATACAAACGTCATTACTTGTGCTAGTCTTATGTTACATTATGATTTCTAGTCAGTGACTGCTGCTTCGTACACAAAGCATGCCCCATAGATTTCCACCAGTGCGACATTGTGGTATTCGCACCTGGGCCTACCCAGTTCGCATAGCATCCCAGTGCTTCAACTCGAAGTAAGTACTATGTGGTCACTTTCAAAGTCAAACCAAGGCCACTCGATGAAATTGTACAGCCGCTCGACAACTTGTCTACAGCACATCCAGATCTACAGTGAGCATCCCGTCCTTTCCCAATTATTATTCGCTAAGCAAGCCCATAGAGAACCGGCTCTGTACAATCTGCTACATAGCTTGCGGGAACTCTGACATCACATGACTTCTCAACCTCCAGCCTCCTCTCCAAAGAATGTAGATATTATTCCACTGCCTGATCCCCCAAAACTTCGCCTCCGCCGTCACCGAAGTCCTTATCCTACTCCCAACGGTCGAGCATCCGATCGAGGCTTCACGCGTCATGCCATCAACCACACTGCACCGATGTGAAAGCAGAAACACGATCCACTGCCACACTAGTTCTCGCATTTAAAGAGGAGCTACCACGCCGGTGAGTCATAAAGTTAAATCCAGGACGCAAATTGCTCATACTCACGCATCTATTCATATCCACGCAGTCTGAGCATTGTCTATAATGCCTGCAATAGGTATGACATTTTTTATCGTGACCGTTACCGGCAGATATTGATGCTGTCAAAACAGCAACAACGGTGAGGAAAAAGCAGAAACGCATTGTTTGTGAGGATGTGATATGGGATCAGATAAATCTGAAGGGGACAGTAGGAAGACGCCTCCCTTTTATGTGCTGAATATTGTTCTTCATGGCGATGTAGGAAGAACTTATCTACCTGAAATTTTGAACAGATGATATGATACTGCAATGCCAAAACCAGGGGAAAACTCCTTTGCGAAACCCGCCGAAATTCTCAAACTCAGGTGCAAAACAAGGAAATCGACGATTTTAGTTGTATTTCGAAAATACTCTAACGAATACAGTTCTGCCGCTTAGACCATAGTTAAAATAAATATAAGTTTTCCTGTACGCTGAACGAGTTTACAAAAAGGTAAAACAAAACCGCCGCGCAATACTGCCATGGCCATGGCCAAGGTACCACTGAGCCAAAGTTTGGTATAGGATGTACACTAATACTGCAAATCTCAAGATCCGCAAGTCCGGGAGCATGACCCGAGCTTCGCGTTCTCTGAGTGAACACCGTGCCAACCAGATTTGCATACCACGACAGTGAAGTTGGAGCTCAGGCTACCGTTGACTCCGTCGGACCGTCTTGACTCCTCTTGATAACCACGTTGTGCCTGCCATAGTAGCGGAACTCACAGGAGCTAGGCACTGGAACAGACATAAAGACGACATTGAGGGAGACGCGATCCGACAAAGAAACTGGGGGTAACGATTTAGCAGCTGGTTGAAAGTAGTGTTGTAACTTAACCCGCGGTTATAACCGGTTAATTGGAGGTTAGTTAAATGAATCTGCTGTTTTGGTAGGGGTTAGTAGGGTTAATACACCGGGAGTTATTTGGCGTTATATCGGGTTGGGGTTCAGTGGTAAACTTTTAATCGTTGAGGACTCAGAGGTGAGCTCTTAATCAAAGAACCTTTCAGTCATAGCTTCGCGTTTTTTTAAGACGGCCAGGTGCTTGTCGGCACCAAGCAAAGTTTCGGCAACACCCGACAATCGATGTGCAGACGCGACCATGGCATCTCGTTCGGACGCTGCATACTATGCTCTGCTTGACACTACTCGAAATTGGATAATGCTTATATCCAAGTGTACTGGCAACAGCTGGGCCTCCAGCCTGATTTGAATCCTCAACCCTGGCTAATATAGAATAGATAGATAATGCACTACTTATTTTCAGTCAGAAGTGGATGTTTCACATCCAGTACGCGTTCAATTGGTCCGTTGAGGTTAGATGGCACGATTTTGGTTCCAGGACATGGAGAGTTTCTATGAGCTAATGCTGAGCTAGCTAATGTCACGTTCACCCCGAGGATGCATCGACGAAGAGCCACGATGTGTTTCGCACTTAAGCTTAATACAGGGATCACGCGAGCATGTCCGTCGAGCTCGAAATTGGCTCGAATATGCCAATTGTTATCAACAACTAGCTACCAGTAGCTACTCAGACAATTAACTACCATTAACCACAGTAACCCCGGTTATAATCTATTTGGTTATAACCCGGGTTAATAACAACACTGGTTGAAAGGATATGAGAGGCGGTGATCACGATCAGTGCTACTTGTTCCAACTC